AAAAATAGTTATAGAAAGAAAAACAGTAGATCTTAAGTGTCTTTCTAGGGACAAAAATTGTGGGTATGTATGGTGACGAATTAAGTAATAAAAAACAATAAAAAATATTAAAAACTAAACTGCCATTTACAAATATATCCTAATGTAAGGCTTAACTTCTCAACCCTGTTATGTTTATATCTACAAGTCAAATTAGTCAAATTTGCTCTTGGCACCTAAAGGTAATTCCTGAGTTTCACCAGGGCCTTTGAAATGATTCTCAACCATAAGGAGCTTGGAGAGTCTGATTGTTCCCTCTGCAAGAGGCAACTCACAATTCTTTAAAAAATCAGCTGGGAAGAAACAGAAGAACCATATTCCTTCACAAAATTGATACATGTTTGTCAAATAAGAACAGGTTAAATATGGGCCTCCCCTGTGGCGCAGGGAAGGTTAAATACAACACCATGAAGCTGTCTGCTGTCTGCAGCCTCTGCAGCACGAGTTCCAACCTTGGTTGTCCAAGGAGCTACCCACATGGTGCAGCAGACCTCGCTGACTCGCCCGCTGCTCCCATCAGCAGTGTTTTTCAGTCAATCTGTCTGTTCTGTTCCCCACTCTTGTCTCTGGTGGGTCCTCTCACCCCCACTCTGGCCTCTACCCTAGCTCTTGTATGCAAAAAAAAATAAATCTTTTTTTTTTTAAAAAAAAAAAGGACAGGGCCTCCCCAGTGGCACAGCGGGTTGAACGCAGTGCTGTGAAGATGTCCACAGCCTCTGCGTCACCAGTTCGATTCCAGGCCAGCCAGGGAGATTCCCACATGATGCAGCAGACCTCTCCTGTCTCACCCACTGCTCCCCTCAGCAGTGCATTTCGATCCTTCTGCCTGTTCTGCTCCTTGCTCTGTCTCTGGTGGATTCTCTTACCACCCCCTCCCCCGCACCTCTTACCTGTACCCCAGTGCTTGTATAAATAAATCTTTTTAAAAAATTAAATAAATAAATAGAACATGTTACATGGTGAAATTATAGCCACACTGGCTTTGTGAAGAAGGCTTTTCAGGATGAATCATTGATCACACCTATGTCAAAGCCCTCAGTGGTGGGGTTCCCACAGCTTCCAGGGTGGTGAGTGTATGGGGGTGCTAGGGGTGGCCAGAGAACACTGGAAACTCTGTGGCCCCCCACACACACCTTGTTCTATGCAGTTATTTCCTTTATGAAGAACCAGTAACTTCAAGTAAAGGACTTTTCTCAGTCCTGAGTCATTCTAGCAAATTATTCTTTTTTTTCTTTTTTTTTTTTTAAATAATAAATTTTATTTTTATATTCCCCCATACAATTGCAAACGCCCCATTCTGACCCCAATCCTTCCCCTCCCGCCCCCCACCCCCAAAAAGTGTCTCTGGTTCATAGTTTTTTGTTGATTTTGATTTTCACTTTCTTATATTCATTTTCCTGGTCCCTTATTTAAGTTTTCTAGATTCCTGCTATGAGTGAGACCATCCGGTATTTTTCTTTTTCATTTTGGCTTATTTCGCTGAGCATGATCCCTTCCAGCGCCATCCATGTTGCTGCAAATTGCATGTGTTTATCTTTTTTGAATGCTGAGTAATATTCCATGGTGTATATGTACCACATCTTCTTGATCCAGTCATCTATTTTTGGGCATTTGGGTTGTTTCCAAAGCTTAGCTATTGTAAACAGTGCTGCTATAAACATAGGTGTGCAGGTGCTCTTTGGAATTGATGTTTCTGTGTCCTTTGGGTAAATACCTAGGAGTGGAATTGCATTCTAGCAAATTATTCTATCAAATGTAAAGGAGGCTGTGAATTTGTAGTAATCTGAGCAGAAAGGTGGGTGTCCTGGGCACCCTGTTTGCATCTGAAACCCCCTACTTCCAGGCGCAGCTTTGTAGGACCTAGCCCTTTCACTTACGGTACCCACTAACTCTGGACCATTGGAGGCCCAGCTGGAGGGCTGGCTGGTGTGAGGAAAGCCTTCTCAGGATCTTCGTCCGACTTCTGAGTGTTGCTAAGTTCATAACTATCGTTTCTTATCAGTCACGAGCTTATTACACATGACCTACTGAGAGGAAACCCTAAGATTTTCCAAAGGGACTGTCAGGCCTTCTAAGTGGGTGCTAAGTGGGTGCATCACAGTCAGTGGTCTGTGATGTGTGTCAGTGAGAAGCCACAGGAAACCGTGGCGAATATCCATCTCTGTTCACAGAAATCACCCCTCAAACAAGAACAAGAGAGCTCCTTCCATGCTGCTCTGCAGTTCCCCAGAGAACAGCGGGTGCTCATCCAGGACATCCTTTCCATGCAGCTCAACAGAGAGATGGGTTGGCTCTGTCTAAGCGGCTCACAGATTCAGGGAAACATCAAGTAATAGAATTAGAAAGACACCCAGCAGCAGTGCCCTGTTCAGGAATTTGAAGCTGCTCTGTGCATGAGCAATTAGCAATGAACAAAATGGCACTGACCCCCTCGCCTCTCACACAAAGGGGAACTGCAAGTGGATCGTGGGTTTACATGGGAGATGCAGAACCCTAAACTCTTAGAGTAACCCAAGGGAACATGGTCAGGACCAGCACTTGGTGAAGAGTTCTCAGGTCTGACCCAAAAAGCACATTCCATAGGAAGTAAATTGGAAGAATTCACATGCAAAGGACTGATCTGTCTGCCCCTCCAGCAAGGGCACCACAGAGGAAGATCTCCAAGCCCCTAAGGCGCTGAAACGTCCACATTCTAACTGTCACGGTGTATTGTGCCAATAAGAGCCCCGCTTAGAACCTATTTTAGACCTAACCCAGGCATTGCAGACAGATAGAAATCGACCAGGGAAGGGGTGCCCAGTGTACAGGACACTCCCCTTCTGCAATTATAAGGGTGGCACCCACTGGACCTTCAGCACAGACCTCACACTCTGCAGTATCCATCCAGCCAAGAACTTGGTAGGACAAGAAGCAGGTGTGCTGCAGGGAGTCAGGTGAGAAGAAAGGCCAGCAGGGGGATCAGGGGCTCAGGGGCTGAGATCAGCACCAGCCCCAGCCCAGCATTCCCTGGTGGGGTGGAGTCAGGACCCTCTGACCATGTCACTCTGGGGGTCCTCGGGTCCTTGGAACAGCTTCCAGGCCAAGCTGCTGTGCCAGGATGGTTGGCTGGGGCGGGGGATCAGCACCTGGCTGCTGGAGGCCCTGAGATCAGATTGCTTTTCCTTTCTCTCTGAACTCCTTCCACAGCTGTTTGTAAATTTCCAGGTAGCCAGGGCCTGAAGCCACTTCTCTCTGTGGTAGAGAAAGAGGGAGGAGGCCGGTGAGATCTAGTGCTTATGCATCAGTCACAGAAAGGATTCATTGCATTACTTGGACGCCAAGCAGCCAGCATACCTTGCATCATCCTGATCAAAAATTGGGGAAACTGGGGTTCAGAGCAGGGACACTGGGGTGACCGGGTGCTTAACCATCCTAAGTGGTCTGCCTTCCGCAGGAGGGACAGAGAAGATCTAGTGACATTAGCCCTTGCAGCTGCCCTGCCAGATGGGTTCTCAAACTCCTACAGCAGCTGCTGGCCTTGGGTGCTTACCCTCTCCCAACACTAGGGCCGGTGCCTCAAAGGTGCACTTGACTGTACCTGCTTTGCTGAAATTTGCTTTAATGCATAGGAGGTGGCTGTGGTTATAGAGTAGAAACTTCCTTACACTCAGAGACTCGTCCTCCTGAGTCAGCTGCTGTAGTGTGCGGCAGATTGCGCTACCCATGCTGTCTCTTGACAAGGTCCGTGCATTGGGGGAGACTCCTGAGTAAAGGGGAGTTCCTGTGCTCCCCAGAAGAGGGAAGTTGTACTTCCCAGAAGAGGGGAGTTCTTGCACTTCCCAAGAAGATCTGAACTAGGGAGTCTCCATGGCAATGCCTGTCTCCTCTTTGTTCTTGGTTAGTGCAAAGGTAAGTTAGTTATAAATTGGCCTGTGAAATCCTAATTGAGACCCAGGTGACAATTGGCTCATAGCATGAACTATCACAAAAGAAGTAAAAATTGTTAAAGATACAGTTAGGATAGAAATGCCCTGGCCCTGAGAACTATGGAGAACAAGCTGCCCTGAACCAGCTGTGCTTGGAAACCATAGCCTAACCTGGGGGGTACGTGTTTGTGGCAACAGTACATCTCGTGGTGTATGCGAAAGGCCAACAGTTCGCAGGCTGTGTGGAGGTTAGGTATTTCTAGTTAAAAGTTCGATTTCTGTAGAACTGAACAGTATTGATGAGTTACTTTAGATCACTTTGAAGTAATTGATAAACAGGCTAGATTAACTGAGTGCTAGGGAATGGGCTGATTTTAGTAAATAGCATAACAATGGACGTTCATGTCCACTCCGAAATCAGGAAGGCTTGACAGGATGATTGATTGTTACTGAACATGGTACCGGCTTAGAAAATTGATTATGTTAGAAAAAGAGTCCTACCAAGGAGCATAATTGTCCCTGTTGATTTTCTTAATCAGATTAAAGAAGTGTCCTTCTGTAGTATGAGATCAAGAGGGTCTTTGTATGTTCATGAGAAAATATGTAATGATTGTCTCTGTTCTGCTCACCTTAAGGTATAAATAAAGACCCGCTGAGACCCTCAGCAGGAGATACTTGCAGGAAAGAAGGTGTCTGTGTCTACCTCACTCCTACCTCGCTCCACTTCCCCTCAGCCCTCCGAAAAATATCACCTATCCCGTCCTCTCCTTTCTGTGATCCCTGACGTGACTTCTAGCTGCAGCTGGTCTCCAGCAGCAGGGTCAGACCCATAAAAAACTGGGACCATCGCTTCTCAGGCCATCGATGGTGCCACATTTGTACACTTGGGAAAGTGTTCTGACCCTCCTGGAAAAAAGAAAAGAGGAAGTGACAGGTCCGGGGCGGGGTGGGGGCTCAGGATGGGTTTTTGTGGCTGAGGATGTGGCTGTAGAAATGCAGTTTCTAAAGGCCTTTGCACAGGAAGATGCAGGCTCGGGTCTGTGTTGCAGCCTCACCATGAAGCAGCTGAGCGCCGCCAACTCTGCCTTCCTCCAGGCCCTGCTCCGCACCTTGAGAGAAGACAGCCCCTGTGGGACCCTCTTCTTCTCCCCCCTGAGCATCGCCTCGGCGCTGGCCATGGTCGTCCTGGGGACCAGAGGCAACACTGCGGCCCAGCTGTCCAAGGTCAGCAGAAACAGACAAAATGAGAGAGAGAGACTCCTTCCTCCCCTGTCAGTGTCTGTGCCGAGGATGGGGAGAGCCGGCCTTGGGGCTCTCCCTGCGCATGTAATTATCTGTTTCTGGGCTCAGATCCCCACTGTGGGGGACACTTTCAGGAAAAGCCCCAGGCATAGTCCATTTGCTGCAGGCTTTCCCTTTGAGTCTCCTGTTTAATGAGCACCTACTAGGTGCCAGGCACTGTGGTGTGACTGGCTGAGGATGGGGGAGCAGCTGGCTAGGACCCCTGAGGCAGGGCAGACCTCTGCTGTTCTGGCTGCCAGACCTGGCTCTGTGGTCTCAGTTGTCCTCCGGGAATCAGCATTTTGCTGTTCAGCTTTGCATGAAGCCTGCTGGCCTGCCGAATAGAGAACACCTGTCACGGACATTACTTCTGAGCAGATGGACACCCCGGAAATGCATTCCAGTGGAAGTTGTTGGACTGGCCTGCTTAGGGGGACAAGGAAACAGGGGACCTGTATCCGGAGGCCCTGTCTGTGCCCAGTGCTGGGTGTGGCTGTAGGTTCTGAAGTCCCGGACACTGTGGCAGGAGGCCCTAGGGAGAACAGGTAGCCAAAGGCATGTGACTGCAGTCAGGGCCGAGCCTTGGGTGACTTACTGCAGGTCACTCTGTCAGCCAGAAAAGGGTGTGATGCCCACCTTCTGCTCCCCTTATAGAAGTGGGGGGCACCTGTGTCAGGTGTGCCTCCTTTCCGAGAGAGGGACCCTGGCTCTCCCTGACAGTGAGGGAAGGAGTGGCCGCAGTGAAGGGCTTTCTGCCACCCCAGTCACACCTGACACTCACCTGAGCCCAGCCAGCCAGCCCTGGGGTCATGTTTATGGGCCTTTCCAGCTGCAAAGCCTCTATGACCCCACTAAATGGAAACATCTCTAAGTGAATGAGACCCGCATCTGCAGAACCACAGATGGAAAGCCTTTTAAAGTTATCAAGAATCCACTAGTGCTAACTGGTACTAATTTGGATTTGCTTCTTAAAAGGTCACGTCAGACTCTATTCTGTGCCTTTCTGGACTCTGTGACCTCAGCGAGAATAGTCTTAAGAGCCTTCCGCTTTGTTTCTATTAAAACAGGTGGATCACAGCGTGAGGCAGACATTCCGTGTCTGTGATAACCTGGCCTTGTGCACTGTGTGGGTTTGCTCTTTGGTTTCTTCAAAGTCAGAAACAGCTCAGGCCTCAAAAGCCATAAGCATTCTTGATTTGCAACTGATCTGTGGGGAATTAAACTTTTGTTAAATGTTATGTTTAAAGAAGTATTTTAAATAAGTGAGTTACTTTTGCTCGCAGTGTAATTAGAAAAAAAATTCCTCAATCTGTCATATCTGTGTTCCTGCAGGGGTGATGATTCTTAGTTTTCAGGATTATTTCTCAGAAATTTCAGTCAAATAATATTGGATAAAATTTTATGATGATATACAATTAGATTTGAGGATTCATGTTTACACACCATTTATGATTTTCTTGGGGAAAAGACTTGTAGAAATATTTAGTTTACTAGCCACTCATATTTGCAGAACTAGAATGATAACCCAAAAAACTGACATAAAAGCTGGCTCTAAGGTGGGATGATTAGGTCTCACAAAGCTGTAAGGTTTGGATTCTCCATCGTGTGTTCTCCAAAGAAAACTCACAAGGTAATAGACTGGAGTCCTCAGTGCTTAGTAATGACGACACATTACCCTCATGGAAGCCAACACCTGGGAATCACTTTATAATTTCAAAGCAAATGTTTATAGAACATGTTTTCTTCATTTTAGACTCTTCAATCTGACGCAGTAGAGAAGGCTCATTCCAGATTTCAGGGTCCGGTCGCCGCTGTCACCAAGCCTGACGCCCCCTATGTGCTGAAAGTGTCTAATAGGTTATTTGGAGAGAAAACCGGTATTTTCCTCCCTGTAAGTACTTTCTGCTTCAGTCCTACTGCTCACTAGACACTGTGCTTTCCCAGCAAAATCAAGGCAGTTCAAATTTTTATAAACAGGGCCTCCCTGGTGGCCCAAGGGGTTAAGCACAGCGCTGAGAGGCTGTCCAAAGTCTCTGCAGCACAAAATTGATCCCGGCCAGGGAGGCGACCCACACAGCCCAGCAGACCTCTCCTGTCTCCCCGCTGGTCCCCTCTGCAGTGTATTTCAGTCAGTCTGCCTGTTCTGCTGCCCACTCTGTCTTGCCCCCAATTTCTATTGTTTAAAGATCTTAGAAAATGACTTCTGTAGATACTGAGTCACTCATAACATTTATTGTCTTCTTTTTTTTAACTGGAGTTCTTAGCTTCAACTCAGGAACTGTATGGCGCTGAGCTGGCCAGTGTGGATTTCCAGGGCGACTCTGAAGGTGCCAGGAGTGTGATTAACCAGTGGGTCCAAGAGCAAACGGAAGGTAAGAGGGTGGACAGAGAGTGGTCCTCACAAAGGGTTCTGCCTCTGTGTCTCCACCCGCCCACCTGCATGGGATCCCCTCTATACAACCTCTCCCTACCTCCTCTGTCCTCCTTCACCCTGGCATGTATCCCCCATTTCCAGTGGGGTACAGCTATCAGACATAGAAATTCCAGGCATCCCTAGTGACACAAGGAGTTCAGCCTCAGAACTATGACGCTATCCCCATCACTGCAGCACTATTTCGATCCTTGGCCAGGGAATTACCCACATGGCACAGCAGACCTCTCCTGTCTCCCCACTGCTCCCCTCGGCAGTATAGTTCAGTCATTCTGCCTGTTCTGCTCCCCACTTTGTCTCTGGTGAATCCTTTCATCCAGAAACCTGATGAACCTGGGGTGCTGAACCTCTGGCCTGCACCCCAGCTCATGCAACATGAACAAAATAAATAAATAAAAAAAATTAGATCCATCATGTGGAATAGCAGACATGATTTAACCAAAGCAGCTAAATATTTCCCCTATGTTCCTCAAAGTGCATTTTAAATTTAAAGCAAAAATGACTGTAGAATCAAAGGAATAAAAATTGGGGTAGTGACAGAGGAAATCCAGCCAGTCCAAATTATTTAATACACCACTAGCATGAAACAAACCCCTCAGATTTTGACTCAGAGCTTATCCACTCATGACCAGTGGTCATGAACCTTTTCCTGCATTCTGGCTCGGGGTGTGATGGGTGGGATGTGCTGTCCAGCTGGGTATCTGTCTCTCCCTAGGTCAGGTATGAGATGAGGCATTTATGGACACTGGGAGTGTGTGAGCATTTGCTTAGTGGAGCCTGCAATTCAGTGGAGGAACCATCCTGCCTTTGCATATTTTGAGGGTTGATGCCACTAGCGGATTGGCAGAAGGACTGACTTACTAGTGACTCAAAAACCCTGTCATGCAAGACTATATATAGTGTTATCCTGAAAAGAATGGCCATTTACAAACAAGGCTCCTTGTGATCACACTCCAGAAAAGGGGCATTTTCCTATTTTCTGCTCTTCTGCACATTAGACTCGTATTGAAGTACAGGCTCTAGTGGGGTGGGTGTGTCATTCTTCAGCCTGGTGAGTTGGTGCAGTCAGACACACTGCGGGGATTTCACTCGACACCATGTTCAAGCGTAATGAAATGGAAAAGGTGCACTGAAATACATTTCTGTGCTGATCTAATGTCAGTTTAGATTTGGAGTGCTGAGAAGTGGATTAACAAAAAACAACTCACTTTATCATTTTAGGGAAGATTCCAGAACTGTTGGCAGCAGGTGTGGAGGATCGCATGACTGTGCTTGAGCTGGTGAATGCCATCTACTTCAAAGGCCCCTGGCAGGATGAATTTAGTAAAGAGGAAGCCAGGGTCCCTCGTTTCTGGTTGAATAAGGTGAGCCCATGCACTGTCTCTTTGCTCTACAAGAGCAAATGTCCTCTTTGCTCTACATGAATGCAGATAACAGTGTTTTTACCTCCATCCTTTCAGCGAAGAGCAAATATGGTGAAAATGATGTACCAGAAGAAGAAACTGCCATTCAGCTACATCCAGGAGCTCCAGTGCCACGTGCTGGAACTGCCGTACAAGGGCGGGGAGCTCAGCATGGTCATCCTGCTGCCCGATGACATAGAGGACCAGTCCACAGGGCTGGAGAAGGTGATGCTCCTGCATTTCGTCCTTCTCTCTCCTTTCCTGTATGTGTCTTCCCGTGTGTGCTGAGTGGTCAGTGCTTGTTATGTGCTTATTGAATCACTTCACTTCCCCATTCTGTTGTAATCCAGTCCATCACATTTACTACCTGGGAGTCCTTCACTTCAAATTTCAGAAACTCTCAGTGAACACTTGTGGGGTCCATGTGGAGACCTATACCAGACGTAATGCTGGTCACGGGCAGCTCATGCAAACTCTTGTAATTAAACTTTAGAGACTGAGGCTTGCTTCATTAAAATGAATTTGTTCAAAATTGAAACCCCTATCATATTGCATAAACCTTCATCTTATGCTCTTAGTTCCTTTTATGACACTCTCCGATCTCCTTACAAGGCACACAGATTGTGAATTCAATTCCCAGTAACTCTATCATAGAAGAAGACTCATGAGACAAGTGAGCTTGAGGGTTAAGCCTATTTCCTAGTGTGAACTTTGTATAAAGTTCTACTATAAGGACTTGAAGGCTATGGAATCTCTTGCCAGGCCTGGAACTAGGCAAAACCTGGAGATTATGTTTTTATCTCAGTGTCTCTAACCTTTTGTGTTATATCGCCAATTCCTACTCTCCAAATTTGCTCTCTGGAAGGCATCTAATGTAGTACCTATTTACATATATAGAGGATGTCAAAAATCAGCATGTGCTTCTTTCAGTTGATTTCCGACTTCATCTGTTCTCTGATTTTAAGGAGTCTCATGAAAGGGATGACCAAGAGCATAGAAGAAGGGTAATGATGGTTCTGTTCTAGTCCCATCATGTAATAAAACAGCAGTGATAACAGTGGACACTTACATAGTCCTTACTGTGTCAACCCATTTAATTCTAATGACAATGTTAGAATAAAGGTCACTGTTATTACCCCCATTTCAGATGAGGAAGTAGGATATTTACTATTTTTCCCTAGGAGCTAAATCTATTAGAGATTATTTCACCTCTGTGTGGTTCACAGAATACCACAGTGATTAGTGGGTTTGGAATAATCACAATAGAATAGATAGAAGAAAATTTTCCCTTACACCACTCAACCATTTAGTTAACATGTAATATAGTCTTCACAGTAATAATAACCCGCAGGCCCCATCACAGTGATTCAGTATATAGGGTGGAGTATTACTGCGTCCTGGAAGAGTGGGTAGATAGATGGGTAGGATGAGGCTGTACTCTGGGTGGGTGGTATATGGATGGTTGTGGGTGGATGCATGGACAAGTGGGTAGATGGAGAGATGGATGGTGGTTGTTTGTTTTAGCTGATGTGCAACTGCCCTGTACTGGGGCCCTGGATGCCTTGGAACATACACTCTCTCATCGTCCCAATTGCTGGAAAGAACTGGCCCAAGAGAGGAAGGAAACAAAGGAGCAACTGACATTCGGGTGTGTTCATTCAAATAACCTTAGCACTTACCTATATAAAATTATTTTCTCTTTGCACATTCTAATTCCAGATCCTGAAGTTGACTCTGGAAAAACAGTGTGAGTGGACCAAGCCTGAGAATATGCATAGTCATATGGATGGCCACGTGCATTTGCCCAAATTCAGGCTGGAGAAGACCTATGATCTCAGGTCCCACCTGGCTCGCATGGGTGTGGGAGATCTCTTTAGCAGGAGCAAGGCTGATCTGTCTGGCATGACAGAAACCAGAGGTATTTTCGTATCAAGAGTTATCCATAAGTCCTTTGTGGAGGTGAGTGAGGTGGGCATAGAGGCAGCAGCTGCCACAGCTGTCACAGTAATGCCGTCCGATGTAGATGAACATTTCAGTGCCGACCATCCATTCACCTTCGTGATTCGTCACAACTCCTCTGGCAGCATCCTGTTCTTGGGCAGATTGCATTCCCCTTAGAGGCTGTAGAAATACAAGGTCTGGGCCTCCCTGGTGGCGCAGCGGTTGAGCGCTGGGTTGTGAAGCTCCCTGCGGCCTCTGCTGTGCAGGTTCGATCCCCGGCTGCTCCCCTGCCACCGGAGGAGGGTCCCACATGGCGCAGACCTCTCCTGCCGCCCACTGCTCCCCTCAGCAGTGTACTTCGGTCCTTCTGCCTGCTCTGCTCCCCGCTCTGGCTCTGGTGAATTCTCTCCCTCCCGTGCTTCTGACTGTACCCAGTGCATGTATAAACAAACAAACAAATAAATAAATAAATAAAATACGTGCCTCTTTATTAAAAAAAAAAAAGAAATACAAGGTCATTCTTAAGAGTTTATGTCTGACTGATAGCACAGATATAACTTCACTAATAAAACTACTCTCTAAAACCAAATGTTTAATTTCCCATGTAAGTGCAACCCTGTTGGGTCTTCACATCCATTTACCTTGGCGGGGTATTGATTTTACTCCTTTTCTATTGAAAAACTCCAGTGGTTATTTCTGAAATCATCAAGTTCTAACAAATACCCTAGATGAGTAGATTCTTGACGAACTGTCATCTGTGCAGGGAAACATGAAGATACTGTGATTAGTTAATAGACAGAACTTCGTGTCTGCAGTCCACACCAGTGAGAGAGTCCCCCATGATCCCATGTATATTCCAGCTGTCCTCACTTCATTCTGTTATTTGGGGTACAGCTGCATCTCCCCAGTGAGGGCCCTGCCAGCTCCTGCAGCTCCACCCCAGCGCCACCCTGGGGACTAAGACTGACCCCCCTCGCCTCTTAAACAAAGGGAAACTGCAAGTGGATCACGGGTTTACATGGGAGATGTAGAACCCTAAACTCTTAGAGTAACCCAAAGGGAAAAGTCAGGACCCAGCACTGGGTGAAGAGTTCTCAGTCTGACCCAAAAAGCACATTCCATAGGAAGTAAATTGGATGAATTCACTTGCAAAGGACTGATCTGTCTGCCTCACCAGCAGGGGTACCACAGAGGAAGATCTCCAGGCCCCTAAGTCACTGAAATGTCCACATTCTAACTGTCACAGTGTATTGCGCCAATAAGAGCCCCGCTCAGAACCTATTTTAGACCCAATTCCAATAAGATCAAGAACACAATTGCCAGAATCCCTAATCCCTGTTCCTGCGTCCACAGGGACCCCGGGCCTATCCCTGTAACACACGAGACACAGACTTGGCTCCAGCCTTTCCTTTCAAAGAAGCCCCTCACTCTAGGCCAGGGCAGCCCCAGCTTCACTGTGAAGGGGGCGGGCGAGGGTCAGGGAGAACAGCGTTGCAGGAGATGGCAGGGGTCAGGAGCGACCTAAGAACCTGAAAGAGTGAGAGCTTTTGTAGGGATTTGGGGCTTGGGCACTCATTGTCCACCTAGTACAGCATCTCCCTGTACAAACCGCCCTGAGGAAGGGCCTCCCATGGGTCGGGGGTCAGGACCAGCTCCTGTGAGAAGGCAAATCTAGGAGTGAAGCGATGGCAGCTCTGGGCACTCCCAGCTGGGCCAGCCTCTGAGTTGGGGGTGTATGTGTCTGTGGAGGCTATGGGTCAGGCAGAGACACCCCTTGGGGAGACCACCTCTTCCCAGGGATTTTATTCCAGATTCTCGGAGGGCAGAGACCCGAGATGACCCCTAGAGCAGTAGCCACTGGCCCAGTTCAGGGCTCCCAGTGGAGCCTCTGCGTGGGGAAAAATCCCTGGGGGATAAGAGGTGAATCCATGCCAGGGGATGATGCCCTCCCCACATCCCCACGAATGTGGGTTTGGTGCTCACAGACCCAGTCTCTGCTGGGTCGATGGTACAACTAAGAATCAGGCCTGTTCCCTCAGATGAGCACCCTGTCCCCCAGCATCTGGAAATCACGCGTTACCTGCCAGAGTGGACATCTTCCTAACACTCCCCACTACTCCTGGGGTGGCCCCTGAGACAGGGAGGGGAAGATCCCCACAGTCATCCCCTGCCCGCCAGCGCCACCGTGTGGCTGGAACAGGAAGGAGCCCTCGCCAGGTCTGGGCCCATGGAGGCCTGGCTGGTCAGCCCTTTGCACTGGGACTTGGCTCTTTTATCTGAGGTGTGGACAGAGAGGGGTGGGGGTCACGGATAAGTCCTGGTGGGGACAAGGGTTTCACCTGCAAGAGTCTGAGCTGGTCCCTGTTGTCCTTGGCTCCTGTCCTCTCCCGGCATCTGGAAGCTGTTTCCCTAGTCAGTGGGGAGCCCTGGCTGTGAGCCCCCAGGAGCCACAGCAGGTCAGTGCACATAGCGCGCCCTCTGCCGCCCCGAGGTGGGATGGCGGATCCCCACATTGCCTGGTCACCCTTAAAGCACACTGATTTGGGTAATGTGGTATCAGCATGTCCTGGGTGTCCTGAGCAACCAGTAGCCGGGATAATCGCCAGGGGAATGAGGGTGATTACACTGGCCCCCCTGCCAGAGGGGGAACTCATGGAAATACCCAGTGCTAGGAGGGATGGAATTTGGGGTACATAGCCATTGCCCCGACTTCCGTGGTTCACTGCATGTGATGAAAGCACCAAACATAGGGGTGTCATCTACTCAGTGGGCAATGAGCCTTTAGGTTTCTTGGCACTGCCGGGTCGGAGGATTAGTGGGTCTGCTATTTGACTGGCCTGCTTGGCTGCCATTCTGGTTGCATGTGGTCCATCCTCCAATACAAGGCCAGAACAGCCTGGTTCATCAGTTATATGAAGAGCAGAATGTAAAATACCAGACCCTACAAGGCTCCTCTCCAATTAAACAAGAGCAGCCCCCTTGATGGCCTGGGACAATGGGTACACATCAGAGGTATGACAGCGATGCCGGGGGCCGTTGACTGAGGTGTGACTTTGCATCCCAGAGACTGATCAGTGCAACACCTTGTTGATACGATTGGAACCATGGGTGAGAGTCTGAGGGATAGTTTTGTTATTTTTTAAGACTTATTTTATTTATGTATACAAGAGCTGGGGTACAGGCCAGAGGTGCAGATAGAGACCAGAGACAGAGTGGGGAACAGAACAGGCAGATCTACTGAAACACACTGCTGAGGGGAACAGCAGCGAGACAGGAGAGGTCCGCTCTGCCATTGGGTAGCTCCTGGCTAGGGATTGAACTTGTGCTGCAGTGGTTACAGATTGCTTCATAGTGCTGATGCTTAAGCCCTTGTGACACCAGGGAGGCCCTGGGGGGTGGTTTTGATTACAACACCTGATTGTCAAGCTGATAAAAAAAACCTGGTCAGCAGACTCACCTCCCCCTGAAGCCCTAATGTCGTAATCACATTTCCCATTTTGACCCAACCTTCCTCCTTGTCCTCCCACCCCACGTAACTGAAGCTGTAGGATTATTGTCACTAAAAAGACCAGGTTCTTGCTTTTTTAGCATCAATTGCATTGTGCTGCCCTCACCATGACATCCGTTTCTCCTTCAGCGCTGTGCAGCTGACACAACAGGGAACCACTCAACCTGTCTCCTTCTGCACGCTGGGTCTGCTGAAGCCACCAGCCTAGCGTGGAGCCAGACCATGAAATCGGGGTCCTGGTCTGGCAGAAACACCCTCCCAACTCTCCCTTCATGCCAGACAGTGTGGCCTCCCCTGTCAATATGGAGGATGTGGAAACCAGGTCAAGGTCATCCAGCAGCGGCCACGTTGACACGCGAGGGCCCCAGACGCAGCCCTCACAGAAGGGGTCCTCCTTACCGAAAGGGATTCCTGGAGAAAGGAGTCCTCTGTCCAGTCCCAAGACGGGCCCCAAGGATGCCTCCAGCTGGCGGTGTGTGGGCAGCGCCTCCCTCGACAGCACCCGATGCTGGACCAGACAGCAATGCAGCAGCCGCACCCAGAGGTGGTCCCGGACGGGCAGGAGGAGTTACCAGCTCCCAGAGGTGGCCCGGACGGAGTGTCGGTCACCACCCGTCACCAGCGTTACAGCTGTTTGTGAGTCGTGGGCTCACCAACACCAAGCAGCTCACTGAGATACTGGGCACGGGCCGGCTGCAGGCCTGAGGGCAGTGGCTTCCCAGACTCCACCCCCGGCCTCTGAGAAGCTCTTTGGTGTCTCTACAAACCTTTTTAGCTTCTTTTCTTTCCTCGGAGTCAACTGCTGTCTTTCCTTCCCCTTTGGAGGTCGAGAACGTAGTAGTGTTCTTTCCCGAGAGGCCAGGAAGAGCATCAGGCCCAGAGTGCGTGTCCCAAGCTGGCGCCTGCCCCGCCTCATCTCCTGTCAGGGCGCCCACCTACCAGGCTGATTGGACCCTTCTCAACCCACTGGCTGACTGGACCATTTGCCAATCAGCTCACAGCCGGCCCCTGATCCAGCACCCTGCACCCTCCATGGGCCTCTCTACTGCCTGCAGCTGGAGGAGCCTCAGTGCTGGGGCTGGCCCCGTGGGGCCCCATGCTCCTCCCTGCAGCCCTGAGCCAGGGCCACTGACCATCAATGCTGGCCTCGGCCTGCAGCCTCAGTGCCAGTGCGGTCTCTACTGGCGGGCAGTGAAATGCCCCCACCCGCTGCCGCTTGCATTGCTGCAAACAGCTTCTGGTGCCAGACAGAAAATAGTCACTGCCTCTCCAGTTGCTCCCACTGCTCAGCCAGGGGCAGGAGAGCTGTCTCTGCCTCCCGCTGGGGCCCGCTGTCACCAACACTGAAATGAGCAAAGCTGTTCTCCAAAGCAGAATGGCCTCGGACCCAGAGTCCCTAGTCACTAGAGCACAAACACTCATGTCAGGTGGAAATAAAAATGCAGAACAGGGCCTCCCTGGTGGCTTAAGGGGACAAAACGCAACCTATGAAGCTATCCGCAGCCCCTGCAGCACGAGTTTGATCCCCGGGCAGGCAGCTACCCTCATGGAGCAGCAGACCTCTTCTGTCTCCCCGCTGCTCCCCTCAGCAGTGTGTTTAAGTAGATCCGCCTATTCTGCTCCCCACTCTGTCTCTGGTGAACACCTCCACACCTCTGGACTGCAGCCCAGTTCTTGTATGAATAAATAAATTAATTAAAAATATGCCCCTGGGGGAGGGCTGCCAGCTGCCAGGGCACTCCCTTTGCACAACTATAAGATCCTCTGCAAGGGGATCTTCAGCACAGATTCCGCCCTTCCTCAGGATCCAACCAGCACAGCAGCAGGTAGGATCTGGAAACAGAGGCGCTGTATGCAGTCGGGGTGAGCAACAGAGGCCAGCAGCTGAGATTGCCCATAGCCCAAGCCCGGATCTCCTTGGCTGGGTGGAGACTCGGTGCTCCCCTGGGAGCTCCCCATGCTGCCTGCACTGTGCACCAAGCTCAGGACCCCGGTGCAGCCTGGGGTCCTCTGCACCCTGGAGTCCTGGGCCAGGCGGGTGGGGAGGGGAGGAAGGCCAGGCTTGGCCAGTGCAGGCCTGAGATCAGGTTGCTTCATTTTCTCCCGGGGCCTCCCTCCTTCCCCTTACTACTTGCCAGTTTCCAGGCAGGCTCGGGTCTGTGTTGCAGCCTCGCCATGGAGCAGCTGAGCGCCGCCAACTCCGCCTTCGCCCTGGCCCTGCTCCGCACCCTGAGTGAAGACAGCCCCGGTGGGAACCTCTTCTTTCCGCTGAGCATCTCCTCGGCACTGGCCATGGTCTTCCTGGGGACCAGAGGCAACACTGCGGCCCAGCTGTCCAAGGTCAGCAGACACAGAGAGAGACCCCTTCCCTGCCAGAGTCTCTGCTGAGGATGTGGAGAGCCGGCCTTGGGGCTCTCCCTGCACATGTAAAATCTGTTTCTGGGCTCAGAGCCCCACTGTGGGGGAGACTTTCAGGACAAACCCCAGGCACAGTCCATTTGCCTTGGGCTTTCCCTTTGTCCCCTGTTTAATGAGCACCTACTAGGTGCCAGGTCTGGTGTGATTAGCTGAGGATGGGGGAGCAGCAGGCCAGGACCCCTGGGGCAATGCAGGCTTCTGCTGTTCTGGCTGCAGACCTGGCTCTGTGGTCTCAGCCTGTTTTCCGGGAATCAGCATTTCGTGGGTCAGCTTTGCATGTGCAGACCTGCTGGGAACAGGGAACGCCTGTCATGGAAATTAATTCTGAGCAGAATGACACTGGAAATGCACTGCTGTGGAAGGTGGTGAACTGGCTTGCTGAGGGCGACCAGGAGACAGGGGAATTCTGTGCTGAGGCCCCGCCTGTGCCCAGTGCTGGGTGTGGCTGTAGGTTCTGATATCCTGGGCCCTGTGGGCAGGAGGCCCTCAGAGAACAGAGAGACTGAGACATGTGGCTTCAGGGGAGGGAGAAGCCCTGGGTGACTCTTCCAGCAGGAAAGGTGGGTGATACTCACCTTCTGCTCCCCTTATAGGTGTGGGGGACACCTGTGCCAGGTATGTCTTATTTCTGAGAGAGGGACTCTGGCTTTCCCTGATTCTGAGGGAAGGGAGTGGCTGCAGAGAAGGGCTTTCTGCCACCCCAGTCACACCTGACACTCACCTGCAGCCAGGACGGCCAGCCCTGGGGTCAGGGTGATGGACCTTCCAGCTGCAAAGCCTCTATGATCCCACTTAAAGGAAACATCTCTAAGTGAATGAGACCCGCATCTGCAGAACCACAGGGGAACTGAAAGTGGATCATGGGTTTACATAGGAGATGTAGAACCCTAAACTCTTAGAGTAACCCAAGGGAACATGGTCAAGACCAGCACTAGGTGAAGAGTTCTCAGGTCTGACCCCAAAGCCCATTCATGGGAGGGAAATCGGGTAAATTCACATGCAAAGGACTGATCTGTCTGCCCCACCAGCAGGGGCATCACAGAGGAAGATCTCCAGGCCCCTAAGATGCTGAAACGTCCACATTCTAACTGTCACGGTGTATTGTGCCAATAAGAGCCCCGCTCAGAACCTATTTTAGACCTAATTCCAATAAAATCAAGAACACAATTTCTAGAACCCCTAATCCCTGTTCCTGCATCCACAGGGCCTCCGGGCCTATCCCTGTAACACATGAGACACAGACTTGGCTCCAGCCTTTCCTTGCAAAGAGGCCCCTCACTCTAGGCCAGGGCAGCCCCAGCTTCACTGTGAGGGGGAGGGAGAGGGTCCAGGAGAGAAGGGGACAGTAGAGGGCCTAAGAACCTGAAAGGGTGAGAGCTTTTGTAGGGATTTGGGGCTTGGGCACTCATTGCCCTCCTGGCACAGCATCTTCCTGTACAAACCTCCCTGAGGAAGGGCCCCCATGGGCCCACGGGTCAGGACCAGCCTCCTGTGAGGACAAAATGATGGCAGCTCTGGGCACCTCCCAGTTGGCCAGCCTCTGAGTTGGGGGTGTCTGTGACTGTGGAGACTACGGGTGAGGCAGACACCCCATGGGGAGACTACCTCTTCCCAGGGATTTTGTTGGGGCTCTGGGAGGAGCAGAGACCTGAGATGCTCCATACAGCATCCCTAGGACATGCTCACCCCTGTGGAGCCTCTGGGTGGGGACAACTTCCCTGGGGGCCAAGGGGTGGATGCTCTCTCCACCCATCTCTGCAAGTTCGTCATGATACGAAGAATCAGGCCTCCTGGCATAAATGAGCACCCTGCTCCCAAGTTTCTAGAAATCAGGAGCTCCTGAGCCCTGTCCTGTGTGGGCATCTTCCTAATGCTTTGCCCTATTCCTGGGGTGGCCCCTAGAGAGGGACAGGGGAAGTTACCCCAATGCCTGCCCTGTAGATGGGGCTAGTGGGGCCACAGTCCCTCCCAGCTCGCCAGCGCCACCGTGTGGCTGGAACAGGAAGGAGCCCGCCCCCTTGGGCTGTGCTCACTGATCCTGAGTCCAGGCTGGTGAACCCTTTGGGAACTGGCTCTTTAGTTTTAGGTGTGGACACAGAGGGGTGGACGGTCACGGATCAGCCCTGGTGTGGAAAATGGATTCACCTCTAGACTCTGAGCTGGTCCTTGCTGTCCCTGGCTCCTGTCCTCTCCTGGCATCGGGAAGTGGTGTCCTAATCAGGGGGGAGCCCTACTGTGAGCCCCCAGGAGCCACAGCAGGGTAGTGCACAGAAGATGCCCTCTGCCACCCCCAGGTGGGATAGCGGGTCCCCATGGTGCCAGGTCACACTTGAGACACCCTGAGTGGGGTAATGTCCTGTGTTTCCTGAACAACTTGTAGCCAGAACCAGTGCACAGGTGCAACCCTTACAGAAGGGGTTCTAAGGCACAAAAAGGGTTCCTGTTCACAGAAGTGGGCCCTCCTCAGAGAAGGCTCCATGCAGACTTGGCTCCTGTGGGTCATACAATATCATGGACTTACCAGCACTTGTGCACCCCAATTTGGGAGCCGACAAAACCACTCCCAACAGGCCCCACCCAGCAGCCCAGGGTCATGGGATGCTGTCACGATCATCACCTGTCAAATAAAGGGCAGTGACTGTGTTGTCATGGCTCGGTGGGCCACTCTGTTACTCACTGGTGGCCCAGAGCGGGACCCAGTGCTCCTGTGGCAGAAATCTATGGCGATGGGTCCTATTCAGTGGCTGATTTAAAATCAGCCCAGGTCTGTGGCACCGTTGCTTTCCCTGAGCCCGGGCAGACTCTGCTTCATAGTCAGAAAACTGCACCTGCCTCTCCCTGAGACACGATGGACGAGCTGTGTCCCAAGGTCTGGCATTAACCACTGTCTCTGTCCTCTAGGTGGGGGGGAGCACAGGGGTCCATACAAGCCTCTACCACATTCACCCTGGAGCCTAAACCACAGCCCACAGGCCGGTCCTCACTGATGGGAGGGTGTGCTGTGGGGGCTACAGCAGGCCCAGGGGACAGGGCCCTTAGGGGGCAGGTCAGTGTCTGTAGGTTCCCCACCCCCTTGAACAATGCATGACCACTCCGGCTCAGGGAAATACAACAATGGGGTGTATTTAACAAATGGGGGAAACATTCCTTAAGCTCAAGAGCGGAGGCTCTCTTACCCAGATAGTGACCACAGTGTCCAGAAGTCCCAGGATGGAGCCACCTGGCCAGCGAGGGCCTGGAGCTGGTGGCCCATGAGCAGCTGCAGCCTGGATCCAAGTCCCCGCAGCTGGGGGTGCTCACAGGCGAGGCTCTGAGATGTCGCAGCAATCGCTGTGTGGCCTGGAGGCCGGGACAGCAGCACTGGATACCGGACCAGACATCAATGGAGCAGCCGTGCTGGGAGGCTGTGCAAGATGGTCAGGAGCATCACCTGCTCTCAGGGGTGACCCCGACACAGATGCTGGTCACCTGTCAGCTGTGCCAGGCCGACTGGGCAGCAGTGGTCACCACAGTCACTAGGAGGGGGCACTGTCAGAAACACCAGCGTCACAGCTGCCTGTGGGTTGTGGGCCACCAGCACCACCAAGCAGCTCCCAGGCCCAGGGCGGCTGCTGCGCCTTCAGGGGATGTCAGAGGCAGGGCCTGAGGGTGGTGGCCCCAGACTCTGTGAAGGTTTTTGGCTTCTCTTCTTTCTTCAGAGGTTGCTGCTTGGGGTTTGTTCTTTTTCTTCTGATCTCAGGAACAGTTAGTCTTTTCTAGGAAGCGTCAGGGCCAGAGCATGGGTCCCAAGCAGCCGCCTGCCCTAACTCATCTCCTGTCAGAGCCCCCCTCAACCCCTACCAGTCTGATTGGACCAGTTACCAATCAGCTCACAGCTCACACCTGGTCAGCCCACTCTGCCCTCCAGGCCACCAGGGGCTCTCTACTGCCTGCAGGTGGAGGAGCAACAGCACTGGGGCTGGCCCCGTGGGGCTTCATGGGCAGCATGCTCCAGGGGCAGGGTAGGGGAACCCCTCTGCTTCCTCGGGCCAGTGTGATCTCTGGTGGCAGCAGTAAGATTCCCACCACTTGCACCTGTTTGCCCTGGCCACAGGCAGCTTCTGGGCTGGAGGGAAAACTCACTGCTCTTCCAATGAAAAGAAAAAAGCTGGTCTTGCCCCATAGCTTGTGCTGTGGGGACCCGCTTTCACTGTCACGGAAATGAGAAATCTGTCCCCAAAGTACAATGGCTTTGGATCTGTTACCTCCTCACAGGGAGCCAGCTGGGCAAAACCCGAGCAGAAGGAGGTGGCCCATCCCCAGGATCTGCGCTGTGTCATCTCTAGGAAATCCTACCTGGACACATGAATGCATCCTGGTTTCAATCCCCAGCCTGCGGGTTGGATAAAACCTGGTGTATGGCACATAATTTTACTTCTGTATACACACCTGGGTGGTTTACAAGCCATCCCTTTACAGTCTGTGCTTCTGGGTGTTTTTCTGGTAGTGTGTGTAAGCGCCATTTGCTACATTCTTGGTTCTATGAGAGGTAGATGTTCTACTTCACATACTGAGAATGTGCAACAACACACTCAGGCTTTTAACTTAGCTATGCAACAACAAATTCAGGCTCTTAGCTAAGCAACAACAAAATCAGGCTCTTGATTTAACTATTAAGAGTATGAGGGTAAGTATAGGAGGAGGGATTAAAACAAAGGTAGAAAGAGCATAAAAGTCTATGGTGATGGGCCTCCCTGCTTGTGTAAGGGGTTAAGCACACACTGCGAAGCTATCCACAGCCTCTGCAGCACAAGTTCCACCTGGCTGGCCAGGGAGCTACCCACATGGTGCAGCAGACCTCTCCTGACTTGCCCGCTGCTCCCCTCAGCAGTGTATTTCAGTCCTTCTGCCTGTTCTGTTCCCCACTCTGTCTCTGGTGAATCCTCTCACCCACCCCTGTGTACCTCTGGCCTGCACACAGTTCTGGTATGCATAAATAAATAAATCTTTAAAAAAAAAAAGAGTCTATGGTGATGGTTCATGGGTGACTTAGCAGTTAAATTTTATGGGGATTATACCTGAGAGGAGAAATCACACATTGTTCAAATATGAACATTGTGTGGAATTCAGCTGTGTGGGGCTAGATAATGCTGTGGTCCATACTTTTCTATTGTCACTTGTTATCCGGCTGTATTCATTATGCATCCTTCATGACTGGCGCTATGAGCTTTCCGGGTCCGGTGTCATTCCAAGAAGGGTGTGCTGAGCATGTCTCACATTCACACACATGTCTGCTGGTGTCTTCCCAGAGTGACATCACTGGGGATGGTCAGGAGGAGCGTGTTTTGGAGCTGAGTCGATACAGCAAACACTGCCCCAAACAGGCAGCCCCATCCCAGAGCTCCAGAGTCTCCCCCTGACCTTGGGGAGTGACCCCTCACATTTTAAAGCCACAAGATGATGCCCAACTACTGGACGGAGCAGTGACTTCCCTCTGACAGTGCAGTATGGGTTGATGAAGGATGGTGTTCAGGGGGACACTGTCCGATCGCTCTACAGTGTGTGTGTGGATTTGGGGAGTGCTTTTCTCTGTGATTGACCCAGATTACTAACTCGCCAGAGCACACACACGTGGTGTCAGGGGGAATGAAAAATGCAGGGCACTGTGTCTTTGGTTCATGCAGGTCAACATTCAATAACTTTTCCAGGCAGCTACTTCTCCTGACTTTCTGACTTTAGCCCCTAGTGGAAGCTGAGAGTGGACCTCCCGTTCCATGGGACATGATGGAGAAGTAACAGATTTACTCAAAGGACTTCAATATAGCTATGACAGGCTTTCCACAAATGATGGTTACTCTCTTCTGACAAGCTGGCAATCAGTCTACCGTCCTAGTATCAAACTCCTGTTTGTTCATTTTTAAACAGTGGAGAGAATTTCACTCTCATTACTGAGGCCTTATTTGCCCCGGTGCATTGTAAAGGGTCTTCCCTCTTCCCCCTTCATGTTGAGACTGCATGAGAGCAGGGGGCAGTTTTGATGGCTGGGGAATTACTTCAAAATTGCTTCAGGGAGAGAGTTTGGAGTGTATCTGTAGGGTGGATTCTCTCTATACTGTGCTGGCTAGCTTGCCTTCTAATTGGTGATAAGTGTCATTTCTCACTCTTAGTTAGAAATAGTCCATCAGGTCCTTGTCAGAGATCCCAATTTGCCTAGAACTCAGCAATGTGTTGATCCCCTGTGGAGGGCGCTGTGTGGTGCTGGTGTTGGATCCACTAGTCACCACTAGCCCTGGCAGTGCAGACTCAAGGAAATCCCCTGGGGGAGGAGCCTCCCTGTTGACAGGACACTCATGTCCCCAGTTATAAGGGTGGCAGGAGAGGACCTGCAGCACAGATCTCACACTTCTGCAGGATCCTGTCCAGCCAAGAAATCAGTAGGACAAGAATCAGGGGGGCTATAGTGGGGTGGGGTGAGCGGGAAAGGCCAGCAAGGGGCTCACGGGCTGAGATCAGGAGCAGTCCCTGCCAGCATGTCCTTGGCAGGGAGAAGACAGTTCCCTCCAATCAGGACAGCTCCCCGCACTGCTGGTGCCCAGCTCCCAGCTCTGGGCAAGCAGCAGTCCTCCCTGATGCTTCAGGGCAGCTCTGCCAGGAGGGTGGGCTGTGGAGGGTGGTTGGGGTGTGGCTGCTCCAAGGCCTGAGAACAGATTGCTTATCCTTTCTCTCTGGAACTCCCTCCACAGCTGTTTGTGAGTTTCCAGGCAGCCAGGCCCTGAAGCCACTTCTCTCCATGGCTGGGGGAAGAGGGAGGAGGCAGGTGTGGTCTAGAGATTACAGCTCAACCAGAGAGGATCTTTGCATTACTACACACCAAGCAGCCAGCACCCCCTGTAGTCATCCTGACCTATATGTGGGGAAACTGGGGGACAGAGAGGGGACAGGATCCGGGGACCAGGTGCTTAGCCATCCTCCTGGGCATTGTGCCTTCCGCTGGAGGGACAGAGAGGATCTCGTCTCCCTAGCGACTGCCCTGACAGACCCTGGGCACTGCAGGGTTTTCAAACTGCAGCTGCTACTGGCTTGGGAGCTACCCTCTCCCCACATTAGGGCTGGAACCTCAAAGGTGCACATTATATACCTGCTTTGATGACTTTTGCTTTAATGCATTGGAGGTGGCTGTGGTTCTAGAGTGGACACCTTCTTACTTTCGGGTGCACGCTGCTCCTGGCTCAGCTGTCTGCAGGCTCAGACGTGTCGGAAAGTGGAGATCATCACTTCTCGGGCCGTCCCTGGATCCACGTTGGTGTGCTCTGGAAAGTGTTCTTACCCTGCAGGAATAAAAAAGAGGAAGTGACAGATTGGGGGGAGGTTCAGGGTGGGTGGCTGGGGCTGAGGATGGGGCTGGGGAAATGCAGTTCTTAACAGCCCATGTACACAAGAGGACACAGGCTCGGGTCTGTGTTGCAGCCTCGCCATGGAGCAGCTGAGCGCCGCCAACTCCGCCTTCGCCCTGGACCTGTTCCGCACCTTGAGTGAAGACAGCCCCCGTGGGAACCTCTTCTTCTCTCCTCTGAGCATCTCCTCAGCACTGGCCATGGTCTTTCTGGGGACCAGAGGCAACACTGCGGCCCAAGTGTCCAAGGTCAGCAGAAAGAAAAAGAGAGAGAGACCCATTCCCTGCCAAAGTCTGTGCCGAAGATGCGGAGAGCCGGCTTTGGGGCTCTCCCTGAGCATGTGAAATCTGTTTCTGTGCTCAGATCCCCACTGTGGGGGAGACTTTCAGGAAAGCCCCAGGCACAGTCCATTTGCTGCAAGTTTTCCCTTTGAGTGACCTGTTTTAGTGAGCAAATACTAGGGGCCAGGCACTGTGGTGTGATTGGCTGAGGATGGGGGAGCAGCAGGCCAGGACCCCTGGCACAGGGCAGATCTCTGCTGTTCAGGCTGCAGACCTGGCTCTGTGGTCTCAGTTGTCCTCCGGGACTAGGCATTTCCTGGGTCAGCTTTGCATGTGCAGACCTGCTGGGAACAGAGAACGCCTGTCATGTAAATTACTTCTGAGCAGAATGACACCCGGAAATGCACTGCTGTGGAAGGTGGTGGACTTGCTTGCTGAGGGGGACAAGGAGACAGGGGACTCTGTATTCTGAGGCCCCGCCTGTGCCCAGTGCTGGGTGTGGCTCTAAGTTCTGATGTCCTGGGCCCTGGGCAGGAGACCCTGTGGAGCCTGATCCTGGGGGCCTGAAGAGCAGGGCCAAACCCTGGGTGACTTACTGCAGGTCACTCTTCAGCCAGAAAGGCGGGCGATGCCACCTTCTGCTCTCCTTATAGGTGTGGAGGGCAACTGTGCCAGGTGTGCCTTGTTTCTGAGAGAGGGACACTGGCTCTCCCTGACAGTGAGTGAAAGGAATGGCCGCAGAGAAGGGCTTTCTGCCACCCCAGTCACACCTGACACTCACCTGCAGCCGGGACGGCCAGCCCTGGGGTCAGGGTTATGGACCTTTCCAGGTGCAAAGCCTCTATGACCCCACTTAACGGAAACATCTCTAAGTGAATGAGACCCGCATCTGCAGAACCACAGAAGAAAAGCATTTTAAAGTTTTCAAGAATCCACTGGTACTAATTTGGATTTGCTTCTTAAAAGGTCACCCCAGCCTCTATTCTGTGGCTTTCTGGGATTGGGTGACCTCAGAGAGAATAGTTTTAGAGCCTTCCGCTCCGTTTCCATTAAAACAGATGGATCACAGCACTCGGCAAACATCCCACTCTGTGAATACCTGGACTTTGTACACACTTTGGGTTTGTTCTGTGTCTTAAAAGCCAGGAACAGCCCAGGCCTCATAAAGCCATAAAAGCATTCTTGTTTTGCAATTGATATGTGGGAAATTAAACCTTTGCCAAATGTTATGCTTAAAGAAGTATTTTAAATAATTGAGTTACTGTTGCTCATGGTGTAATTAGAAAAAAAATTCTCAATCTATAATATCTTTGTTCCCACAGAGGTGATGATTCTTAGTTTTCAGGTTTATTTCTCAGAACGTTCAGTAAAATAATAGTTGATAAAATTTTATGATAATAGAAAATTAGATTTGAGTATTCATGTAAACACACCATTTATGATTTTCTTGGGGAAAAGGAAAGACTTGTAGAAATATTTAGTTTACTAACCACTCATATTTGCAGAACTAGAATGATAACTAAAAAAACTGACATAAAATCTGGCTCTAAGGTGGGATGAGTAAGTTTCACAAAGCTGTAAGTTTTGGATTCTCCATCATTTGTTCTTCAAAGAAAAACTAATAAGATTATAGGTTGGGTCATCAGTGCTTAGTAATGACAACACATTCCTTTGATAGAAACAAACTCTTGGGATTCACTTTATAATTTCAAAGTAAATGTTTATAGAAAATGTTTTCTTCATTGTAGACTCTTCATTTTGACGAGGTAGAGAAGGTTCATTCCAGATTTCAGAGTCTGATCGCTGCTGTCAACAAGCCTGACGCCTCCTATGTGCTGAAACTGGCTAACAGGTTATACGGAGAGACCACCTATAATTTCCTCCCTGTAAGTTCTTTCTCCTGGAGTTCTACTCACTAGACAACGTGTGCTTTTCCCAGCAAAATCAAGTCAGTTTAAATTTTTATAAACATTCAGAAAATAATACCGAATGAAAATGTACGACTCATGATGTTCCCTTGGTTTTCACAAGTGAAGAGATGGTCCTGGCTGTGTCCCTTTAAAACAAGAGTGACGCCATTACTCCCTTCCAAGTGCAATCAGTATTTGTTATTTGTGCAGAAGTTAGGAAACTTTAGGTTATAAGAATCAGATGCCTTGAACTCAATTTTGATTGCTTTCAAAGATCTTAGAAAATGACTTCTGTAGATAGTAAGATTCACTCATAACATTGATTTTCTTCTTCTTTTTTTAATAGGAGTTCTTAGCTTCAACTCAGGAGCTGTATGGTGCTGAGCTGGCCAGTGTGGATTTCCAGGGCAACTCTGAAGGTGCCAGGAAGGTGATCAACCAGTGGGTCAAAGAGCAAACGGAAGGTAAGTGGGTGGACAGAGTGTGGTCCTTGTACAGGGTCCTGCCTCTGCGTCTCCAGCTTCCCACCTGTATAGGATGCCCTCCCCACACCCTCTCCCTACCTCCTCCTTCCGACTTCACCCTGCGGGTGAACCTGTTGTCCAGTGCTGAGCAGCTATCAGACACAGAAATTCTGGGCCTCCCTGATGGCCAAGGGGTTGAGTCTCAGCACTATGAAGCTATCCCCAACTACTGCAGCACGAGTTTGATCCCTGGTCGGGAAACTGACACACATGGTGCAACAGACCTCTCCTGTCTCCCTGCTGCTCCCCTCCGCAGTGTATTTCAGTAGATACCGTTGTCCTGCTCCCCACACTATCTCTGGGAAATTCTTTCTGCACCTCTGGCCTGTACCCCAGCTCATGCATGCATGCAAAATAAAACAAATCTTTAAAAATTTAGATTCTGTCAAGCGGAATCGTAGACATGAATGAACCAAAGCAGCTAAATATTTTCTCTGATGTTCCCTTAAACTACATTTTAAAGTTAAAGCTAATATTATCTGTAGAATAAAAGGAATAAAATTTAGGGGCATGGGAGGGTAATCCAGTCGTCCAAATTATTTAATCCACCATTGTCAGTAAATAACCTGTGGGGCTCACACACTAATATTCATGAACCTCTTTCCTGCATCCTGGCTCCAGGTGCGGCGTGGCGGGTGGGATGTGCTGTCCAGCTGGGCATGTCTTTTCCCTGGTCATGGAATGAAAAGAGGCTACTACAGACACCCTGCATGTAGGAGGGGTGCTTGGTGGAGCCTGTGATCAGTAGAGGAACCTTCCTACCTTTGCATAGTTTGAGGGTTGCTGCCACCTAGCGGATTTGAAGGACTGACTTCCTAGTGATTCAAAACCCTGTCATGCAAGACTATATATATTGTTATCCTGAATAGAATGGCCAATCACAAACAAGACTCCTTGCAATCATACTCCAGAAAAGGGGCATTTTCCTGTTTTCTGCTTTTCAGCACCTTAGACTTGTACTGAAGTACAGGCTCTGGGGGACTGGGTGTGTCATTCATCAGCCTGGTGAGTTGGTGCAGTCAGACACGCCAAGGGAGTTTTCACCTCGACACTATGTTCAAGGGAAATGAAATGGAAACGATGTGTTTGAAATGCATTTCTGTGCTGACCAAATAGTTTAGATTTGGAGTGCTGAGAAGTGGATTAACAAAAAAAAATCTTACTTTATCCTCTCAGGGAAGATTCCAGAAATGTTGGCTGCAGGTGTGGTGGGTAGCATGACTAAGCTTGTGCTGGTGAATGCCATCTACTTCAAAGGCTCCTGGCAGGACGAATTCAGAAAAGAGGAAACCAGGGACGCCCCATTCAGGTTGAATAAGGTGAGCCCATGCATGGTCTCTTTGCTCTACAAGAGCAAACATCCTCTTGCTCTACATGAATGCAGATAATAGAGATTTTTTTTCCAACCTTTCAGCGAGAAACAAAAATAGTGAAAATGATGTACCAGAAGAAGAAACTGCTATTTGGCTTCATCCGGCCACTCAAGTGCCGCGTGCTGGAACTGCCGTACAAGGGCGGGGAGCTCAGCATGGTCATCCTGCTGCCCGATGACATAGAGGACGAGTCCACAGGGCTGGAGAAGGTGATGCTCCTGCGTTTCGTCCTTCTCTCTCCTTTCCTGTGTGAGTCCTCCTGTGTGTGCTGAGTGGTCAGTGCTCGTTATGTGCTTATTGAATCACTTCACTTCCCCATTCTTTTGTAACCTAGTCCATCACATTTACTACCTGGGAGTCCTTCATTTAAAATTTCAGGGACTCTAAGAGAACAGTTGTGGGGACCATGCAAAGACCTACACTAGATGTAATGCTGGTCATGGGCAGCTCATGCAAACTCTCTTAATAGAACTTTAGACTGAGGGTTGTTTTATTAAAATGAATTTGTTCAAAATTGAAACCCAGTAATGTATGACTTATAGCGTCATCCTATGCTCTCAGGGTTCTTTTATGACACTCTCCGATCTCCTTACTATGCACACAGATTGTGAATTCAATTCCCAGTAACTCTATCACAGAAGTCTCCTGAGACAAGTGAGTTTGAAGGTTAAGCCTGTTTCCTAGTGTGAACTTGGTATAAAGTTCTACTATAAGGACTTAAAGGCTATGGAATCTCTTGCCAGGACTGGGACCAGGCAAAACCTGGAGATTATGTTTTTTCTCAGTGTCTCTAGCCTCTGTGTTATATCGCCACTTTCTCCTCACCAAAGTTGCAGTCTGGAGGGGATCCTAATGTAGTATCTATTTGCATATATAGAGGATGGAAATATCAGCATGTCCCTCTTTCAGTTGTTTTCCACCTTCATCTGTTCTCTGATAATAAAAAGAGTCTCATGAAAGGGATGACCAACAGCAACAGAACTAGTGTAATGATGGTTCTGCTCTAGTCCTATCATGCTAATAAAACAGCAGTGATAACAGCGGGCACTTCCATAGTCCTTACTGTGTCCAAATCATTTAATTCTAATGACAATGTTAGAATAAAGGGAGGGTCTGTTATTAGCCCCATTTCAGATGAGGATGTAGGATCTTTTCTATTTTTCCTTAGGAGCTAAATCTATTAGACGTTATTGTAGCTCTGTGTGGTTCACGGATCACCACGGTGTTTAGTGGGTTCAGAATAAATAGAATAGGATAGAAGAAAACTTTTACATTTACCCTTTCACCACACAACCAATTAGTCAACATGTAATATAGCCTTCATGGTCATAACCCATCACAGTGATTCCGTATAATGGTGGAGTAATATTGAGTCCTGGGAGAGTGGGTAGACAGATGGGTAGGATGAGGCTGTACTACGGGGTGTGTGGATGCATGGACAGGTGGGTGGATGGAGAGATGGATGGATGGTTGTTTGTTGGAGCTGATGTCCAGCCTCCCTGACTGGGGCCCTGGATGACTTAGAACACACACTCTCTCATTATCCCAATTGCTGGAAAGAACTGGCACAAAACAGGAAGGAAACAAAGGAGCAACTGATATTAGGGGCTATTCCTATAATAACCCTTTAGTACTTACCTATATAAAATTGTTTTCTCTTTGCACATTCTAATTCCAGATCGAGCAGCAGTTGACATTGGAAAAACTGCATGAGTGGACCAAGCCCAAGAATATGGTTCATAGGGATGTCCACGTGCACTTGCCCAAATTCAAGCTGGAGGAGACCTATGATCTCAGCTCCCACCTGGCTCGCATGGGTGTGGAAGATCTCTTTAGCAGCAGCAAGGCGGATCTGTCTGGCATGACAGATACCACAGATATTTTCATATCAAAAATGATTCACAAGTCCTTTGTGGAGGTGAATGAGGAGGGCACAGAGGCAGTGGCCATCACAGTTGGCATATTCATGCGTAAATCTGGGATAGAGCAAAATTTCGTTGCCGACCACCCATTCATCTTCATGATTCGTCACAACTCCTCTGGCAGCATCCTGTTCTTAGGCAGATTGTGTTCCCCTTAGAGGCTGTAGAAATATATGGTCAAATTAGAGTTTAATCATCTGACTTTTAATGCAGATATAACGTCACCAATAAAACTACTATCTAAATCCAAATGCTTCATTTCCTTTGTAAGTGCAACTCTGCTGGGTCTTGACATCCAAGTCCACTGCCACAGGTGTCATATTTCCTCTCTTTACAATGCACAGCTCCAGGACTAATTTTGAAAGTGTCAAGTTAAAACAGATCTCCCAGATGTGTAGATTCTTGACAAAGCCGTTGTCTGTGCAGGGAAACATGAACACACTGTGGTTCAGTGAATAGAACTTTATACAATTTTAAAAAATATTTATTTATACAAGAACTGGGTATAGGTCAGAGGCACGGGAGGGTAAGAGAATTCACCAGAGACAGAGTGGGGAACAGGCACATGGACCGAAGACACTGCTGAGGGGAGCAGCGGGGGAGGAAGACGAGGTCTACTGCGCCATGTGGGTTTCTCCCTGGCTTGATGGGAATCGAACCCGCACTGCATAGACTGTGGACAGCTTCATATCACTGTGCTCAATCCACTGCACCACAGGGGAGGTCCTTTAAAAAAAAAAAAAAGGATATATTTTATCCATACAAGAGCTGGTGTACAGGTTAGAGGTGTGGGGGGCCCGCCTCAAAGGACAGAGTGGGGAGCAGAACAGGCAGATTGAAATACACTGCTGAGAGGAGTAGTGGGTGAGTCAGGAGAGTCAGGAGAGGTCTGCTGTGCTATGTGGGTTGCTCCCTGGCCAGGGATCGAACTCATGCTGCAAAGGCTGCAAACAGCTTCATAGGTTGTATCTTAACCCCTTGCGCCACCAGGGAAGCCCCAGTTAATAGACCTTTAGCCGTCATCATAGACACTCTGGGAGTTGCAGGGAACCTTAAAAGGAGACAATCAGTTGAAATGGAGGAGAGAATCCCGACTAAGCCTCCATTTAGCAAAGATAACCTTACCTTGATCTTTGTCTTAAAGAGTTACGTGCCATAGGACTGGTTTTCAGGCCACTAATTTTTTTTTATTAATATATTTCTCTTTCATCTTTGTAGTCCCATGTTCTCCCACCACCATATCTCCCATAAACTATCTTCCTATGACCTTTGTTCAAGGCCCCTCCTCCCCACCCCTTCCTTTGCTCTGCACTTCCTTTGCTATGGTCAGCTTGATAGTTTTGACATTTTCTTGACCTTTTGTTTGGTTTCTCTATATTCCACATATAAGTGTTTATCTTTTTTCTTCTGACTTACTTTGGCTGGCATAATGCTCTCCAGCTCCGTCCATGTTGCCACAAGAGGCACAAGTTTTCCTTTTTGACTGCCGAGTCATAGTCCACTGTGTAAATATATCACGTCTTCTTGTTCCATTTGTCTATTTTGGGGCATTTCCATAACTGGGTTATTGTAAATAATGTTGTAAAAAGCATGGGTGTGCAGGTTCCATTCGATTTAGTTTTTTAATGTCCTTTGGGTAGATCCCTAGGAGTGTAATTGCTGGATCAAAGGGTAGATCCAGTTTTAGTGTTTTTAGGGTTCCTCTACCCAGCTTTCCAGAGTGACTGGAGAGTTTAGTTCCCACCAGCAGTGTAAGAAGCTTCCTTTATCTCCACATACTTCCATATTTGTTCTTTCTAGATTTTTTTTAATGTGGGCAATTTTCACTGGAGTGAGGTAGTATCTCCTCGAGGTTTTGATTTGCATTTTCCTGATAATTAGTGATGTCGAACATTTTTTCACATGTCTATGGCCATTTCCGTTTCTTCTTTGGAGAAGTCTCTTTTTCTTTTTCTATCCAACGTTGACTGGGAATTTTGCTTTGTTCAGAACATTAAAGAGCTGCCTGCCAATCCCCTGTGCTCCCTGGTATGTTCTCCTTTATCTGACCCACGTGTCACTCTCATGAGGTCCATGGAGTCAAGAAGTAGGGATTCCCATAAAGATGCCAAGAAACTACCAAAAGAAAACTGGAGTAGGAGAGACTGTTAAGCAAAGATCTCAGCTTCCCCCCCACTACTCGGGTGTTTTCTCATAAAGACTCTCCACATCCATTATGACACTGGTTGCTATGGCAGTGGCTGGCTTATGTGGGCTGTGGTGGAAGATGGGGCTCTCTGCGTGGCAATTTATGGTGGAATGAAAGGAGAAACTTGCCAAGGAATAGTTCTGGGTCCTTTGGGATCATATGTGGATAAAAAATCAAGTTGATTCCTGCCTTAAAACCCAAGCAAACATGAATAACAGAAGGACTATAAAACTAAGGCAAGCCAGCATTTTTTAAAGATTGATTTATTTATGCATACAAGAGCTGGGGAACTGGCCAGAGGTGCAGGGTGTGTGTGGGGAGGGGGGGGGGGTGAGAAGATTCACCAGAGACAGAGCAGGGAACAGAACAGGCAGATTGACTGAAATACACTGCTGAGGGGAGCAGTGGGGGAGTCAGGAGAGGTCTGCTGCACTATGTGGGTAGCTCCCTAGCTGGGGATGGAACTCAGCTGCAGAGGCTGCGGACAGCTTCCCAGTGCTGACACTTAACCCCTTGCGCCACAGAGAGGCCTCAACACAGCATTTTTAGAAGATAATGTAGGAATATACCTTCATGACCTTGTGAAGGGAGTGATAGCTGGGCAGGAGACATACATGCACAGTCATTGTTTGATATTTCTAGTCTTTTGGACATCGTTGAAGGTAAATTGGACTAAGTTCAAAACACAGTGAGACACCATCTCACACCTGTGAGAAAGGCCCTATTAAAAAGACCCCCGACGAGAAGTGTTGGAGGACGGGGAGAACCAGGACCCAATTCCCCTGGACGTAAGCTGGTGTGGCCACTGTGGAAAGTGGGCTGCATTGAAATTAAAATGGAGATACCATATGACCCAAAGTCCCACTCTTGGTTGTCTGTCCATAATTCATCACACTATCAACCCCAAAAGCCACATGCTGTGCAGGGTTTATTCCAGCCCCATGACAACAGCAGCCCAGGGTCCCTGGAATAGCCCGAATGCCTGTCCATAGGAGGCCGGGTCAAGGGTCCACACTGTGGAATACTGTTCACCACAAGGAGCCATGACAGGCAGTGATGGAGCAATGGGACAAGTCCAGGGAAATGCATGCAAGAGCTGGGGTAAAGCAATGAAAAAGACAAACACTGGGTTTAGCTAGTAGACAATAAGACAAAGTAAAACAAGCACTGGGAGACATTAATAAGCAAAGAGGGGGTGTAGGGGAGTATTGGGGAAGGGAGTGTTCAGGACAGTGGCAGAGAATACAACTGAACTTCATGTCCACAACACACACCAACGAGAGTGTGAGAAGAGACACGGAGGGAAGGTTGAGGGTTTACATGGGAGATGTAGAGCCCTAAACTCTTAGAGTAACCCAAAGGGAAATCGTCAGGACTCAGCACTAGGTGAAGATTTCTTAGGCCTGAACCCAAAGCACATTCATGGGAGGGAAATTGGATAAATTCACATGCAGAGGACTGATCTGTCTGCCCCACCAGCAGGGGCATCATAGAAGATGATCTCCCGTACCATTAAGGTGCTGATAATTCCAATAAGAGCCCTGCTTAGAAGCTATTTTAGACCTAATTCCAATAAGTTCAAGAACATAGTTGCTGGAACCCCTAATCCCTGCCCCTGCGTCCACAGAGCCCCCGGGCCTATCTCTGTAACACACGAGACGCAGACTTGGCTCCAGCTTTTCCTTTCAAAGAAGCCCCTCACTCTAGGTCAGGGCAGCCCCAGCTTCACTCTGAAGGGGATGGGAGAGGGTCAGGGAGAGGAGGGGGCAGGAGAGGCCAGGGGTGAGGAGAGACCTAAGAACCTGAAAGGGTGAGAGCTTTTGTAGGGATTTGGGGCTTGGGCACTCATTGCCCACCTGGTACAGCATCTCCCTGTACAAACCGCCCTGAGGAGGGGCCTCACCTGGACCCAGGGATCAGGACCAGCCTCCAGTGAGAAGGCAAAACCAGGAGTGAAGCGATGGCAGCTCTGGGCACCTCCCAGCTGGGCCAGCATCTGAGTGGGGTGTCTGTCACTGTGGAGGCTATGATACCCCATAGGGGGTGAACCCCCACCCAGGGATTTTGGTCCTGCCTCAGAGGGCCAGTAAGGACATCCCCAGAGGGCAGCAGCCCCTGGCCTGACACGCACTCACTCCCCGAGCTGGAGTCTCCTCGTGGGGAGAACTTCCTTTGGGTCAAAGTCTGCCTGTTCTCTCCACCGTCTTGCCAGGTCGAAGTGACACTAATGGTCACACCTGTTGGCTTAAATGAGCACCCTGCCCCCGAGGGTCTAGAGATCAGGCGCTCCTGAGCCCTGTCCAGTGTGGGCAGCTTCCTGATGCTTCGCCCTATTCCTGCTGTGCCCCCAGAGAGCAGAAGTTTCCCCTTTGCCTGGCCTGATGATGGGTCTAGCAGGGACCACAGTCATGCCCAGCCCGCCAGCACCACCGTGTGGCTGGAACAGGAAGGAGCCCTCGCCAGAGGCCACTGCTCCGTGGAGGCCTGGCTGGTCAGCCCTTTGCACTGGAACTTGGCTCTTTTGTCTTAGGAGAGGGGTGGGGGGCAGACGCTACCAGAACAGGACCCCTATTTAATGGCCAAGGTTCCATCGGGCATAGAACCTTCAGCTGACAGAGCCTGGAGCAGGACTACAGGATCCCAGTGCAGGTTGAATCATTTCCCCCCCTCCTCATGCCTGACATGCCACCCCCACCGAGGGTGCAGAAACCAGGTCAATCCTAGATGTGGCCACATTAACATGCGAGAAGCAGCCATAGTCCACTTCTCACAGAAGGGGTTGCTCCCCACAGAAGGGGTTGCTCCCCACGGAAGGGATAGCTCCCCACAGAAGGGTCCTCCACACAGAAGGCTCGGGGAAGATTTGGGCTGTGCCCTTGTGGCTCACACATCATAGACTTACAAGCACTGTGCACCCCAATTTGGGAGCAGACAAAACCACTCCCAACAGGCCCCACCCAACAGCCCAGGGCTATGGGATGGTGTCACTGGAGCCATCATCACCTGCAAATAAAGTACAGTGACCATGTTGTCACAACTGGGTGGACCACTCTGGTACTCACTGGGTGGCCCAGAGTGGGACCCAGTGTTCCTGTGGCAGAAATCTATGGCCATGGCCCCAACTTGGCGGCCGATTTGAAATCAGCACAGGACTGTGGCACCGTTGCTTTCCCTGAGCCCGGGGAAAATCGGCTTCATAGTCAGAAAACTGCACCTGCCTCTCCTGGAGACACAACGGACGAGCTGTGTCCCAAGGTCTGGCATTAACCGCTGTTTCTGTCCTCTAGGTGGGTGGAGGACAGGGTCCCACTCAAGCCTCTAGCACATTCACCCCGAGCCTAAACCACAGCCCACAGGCCGGTCCTCACTGATGGGAGGGTGTGCTGTGGGGGCTACAACAGGCCCAGAGGACAGGGCCCTTAGGGGTCAGGTTAGTGTCTGTGGGTTCCTCACCCCCTTGAACAATGCATGACCACTCAGGCTCAGGGAAAAACAACAATGGGGTGTATTTAACAAATGGGGGAAACAAAGACACCTTAAGCTCATGAGCGGAGGCTCTCTTACCCCAGATGATGTCCACAGCGTCCAGAAGTCCCAAACGAAGCCTGCTCAGCCAGGATGAAGCCGCCCAGCCAGCGAGGGCCTGGAGCTCATGGCCCATAGGCAGCAGTGGCCTGGATCCAACTCCCCACAGCTGGGGGTGCTCACAGGCGAGGCCCTGAGATGACGCAGCAGCAGCCACAGAAAGGCCTGAAGGCTGGGATGACAGCAACGCACACCAGACCAGACAGCAATGGGGCAGCCGCACCAGGAGGCTGTGCAAGATGGTCAGGAGCATCACTTGCTCTCAGTGGTGACCCAATCAAGGATGCCAGTCACCTGTCATCTGTCCTGGGCAGACTGGGCAGCAGCAGTCACCACAGTCACCAGGAAGGGGCACTGTCAGAAACACCAGCGTCACAGCTGCCTGTGGGTTGTGGGCCAATAGCACCACCAAACAGCTCCCTGAGACCCAGGCCAGGGCGGCTGCTGCCCCTTTCAGGGGATGTCAGAGGCAGGGCCTGAGGGCGGTGGGCCTGGACTCTGCGAAGCTCTTTGGCTTCTCTTTCTTCAGAGGTTGCTGCTCATGTTCTTTTTCCTTCAGTCCTCAGGAACAGTCTTTTCTAGGAAGCCAGGAAGAGCCTTAGGGCCAGAGCGCATGTCCCAAGCTGCCGCCTGCCCTGCTTTATCTCCTGTCAGGGCTGCCCTCCCCCACCCCCCACCAGTCTGATTGGACCAGTTACCAATCAGCTCACAGCTAGCACCTGGTCTGCCCATTCTGCCCTCCAGGCCACCCTGGGGCTCTCTACTGCCTCCAGCTGGGGCTGGCCCCGTGGGGTCATCTTTTATCCTGTGCTGTTAGTTTTGAGTCTCTCAGCCACTGGGTGATTTTGAGCTTTCTAGGTCCCCTCAAATACAAATACAAGCTCTGGGGGCAGAATAGGGGAACCCCTGCTGTCGCCATCACTGCCTGCCTCTGCCTGCAATCTCATGCCTGTGACGCCTCTGGTGGTGGCAGTAAAATAAAAATGCCCACCACTCGCAGCTGTTTGCACTGACCACAGGCAGCTTCTGGACTAGAGAGAAAACTGCCACTTTTTTAATGGCTCCGCTACTCAGCCAGAGGAAAAAGGTGTGACTCACACCTTGCGGAGTGGGGCCCTACATTCACAAACGCTGAAATCAGCAATCTGTGCCAAAGTACAATGGCGTTGGACCTGTCACTGCCTCTAGGGAGCCAGCTGGGCCTCACCTAAACAGGAGAACTTTGCCCATCCAGAGGCGTCTACCACTGTGTCATCTCTAGGAAATCCCACCAAGACATGCATGAACGCCCTGTGCTACCAATCCCCAGCCTGGGGTCTTCATTAAGCCATGGTCTGATCTCTTCTGACTTAAACCCGTGGAGAGTCTGCCAGCCCTTGAACGTGTTATAACCAGATCGTTCAGTTCTGTGGGCTTCTCTGTGTCTGCATTTTTTCATTAAACAATGTGGGATTCAGGTGCGTGGGGCTGGGTATTGCTGTCATTGATTCAATTTTATTGTCATCTATTATCCTGCTGTATTAGTTTTGTGTCTTTCAGCCAACGGGTGATTATGAGCTTTAACTGATGTAGTCAAATACAAAGAAGGGTGTTCTGAACATATCATATTCACACACGTCTGCTGGTGTCTTCCCGGGCTGGTATCACTGGGGATGGTCAGGAGGAGCGTGTTTTGGAGCTTAGTCGATACAGCAAACACAGCATCAAACTGGCTGCTCCATTCCATGGCTCCAGTGTTTGCCCGTGACCTTGAGGAGTGACCCCTCACATTTTAAAGACACAAGAAGATGCACAACTATTCAATGGAGCAGTGACTTTCCTTTGACCTTGACAGTGCAGTATGGATTGATGAAGGATGGTGTTCATGGGGACTTTGTCAAACCCTAAAAAGTGTATGTGTGGATTTGGATTTGGGAAATGGTTTTCTCTGTGGCTGACACAGCTGACTAACTCACTGGAGGACAGTGAGTCCCATGTCAGGGGAAAATAAAAATGCAGAACACTGTCTTTGGTTCATGCAGCTCCACATTCAACAAGTTTTCCAGGCAGCTCCTCCTCCCAACTTTCTCACCTTAGCCACCTAATGGAAGCTGCTGAGTGGACCTCTGTTCTGTGAGAAATGATGAAGTAAAAGATTTACTCAGGTGAATTCAACATAACCATGGCCAGCTTTCATTGGCCCTTTTCCCCCTTTCATGTTGAGACTTGCATGAAAGAGCAGGGGAAAGTTCTCATGGATGGAGAATGTGGAACCAAGCTTAGCCGAGGTTTCGCCATTTTGTATATCCTCCACCTTGGTATGTTAGTCCTTGTCCAGCCGCATTCCGGAGAGAGTTTCAGCAGTCACAACCCTCACTCCACTTGGTGACGAAAAAGCAGACCACCCCAACCGCCAAGGAGGGCAGTGCTATCCATAACTGGGACAGCATCTCTAACCGTCCAATCAGTTTGAAACTATAACCGCGCGCGCCAAAATGCCTTTGTAGTAGCCAGTGAGTAATTGCCAGCTTCTTTCAAAATTCGCGCCACTCGTGACCCTATAAGATACCCCAGCTTCCTCTGTTCGGGGCTCTCGACCTCTGCCGTTGCATCAGTGCGTGTCGAGGGCCCGGACTCGAGCCCGCAATAAACTCCCTTTTGCATTTACATCAGCTGTCTTTGGATTCTTGGAGGCTATGCTCCCCGAGTCTGCTGAGCTTGGGCACAACAGAGAATTACTTCAAAATTGCTTCAGGGAGAGAGAGTTTGGAGCATATGTATAGAGCGGATTCTCTCTATAAAGTGCTGGCTAGCTTGCCTTTTAAGAGGTGACAAGAGGTTAAGTCATAGCACTATGAAGCAGCCACTGCAGCACGAGTTCGATCCCTGGCCATGGACCTGAGCCACATGGTGCAGCAGACCTCTCTTGACTTGCCTGCTGCTCCCCTCAGCAGTATATTTCAGTGCATCTGCCTGTTCTGTTCCCCACTCTGTCTCTGTTCCCCCCTCTTACCCGCCCCCCGCACCTCTGGCCTGTCTGTACCCAGTTCTTATATGTATAAATAAATACTTTTTTAAAAAAAAGTGATAAATGTCATCTCAGTGATTCACCCCTTAGTAAGAAACAGTCCATCAGGTCCTAGTCAGAGATCCCAGTTTGCCTAGAATGCAGAATGGTGCTGATCCCCTGTGGAGGGAGCTGTGTGGAGCTGGTGTTGGGCTCCATTAGTCATGACTAAGCCTGGCTTTGCAGACTCAAGGAAATCCCCTGGGGGAAGGGCCTCCCTACGTACAGGACACACCCCTTCTGCATTTATAAGAGTGGCAGCTAGAGGACCTTCAGCACAAGCCTCACACTGCCACAGGATCCAGGCCAACCAAGAAATCGGTAGGACAAGAAGCAGGGGGCTGCAAGAAGGTGGGGCGAGAGGAAAGGCCAGCAGGCGGCTCAGGGGCTGAGATCAGGAGCAGTGCACGTGTGGCATTGCCTTGGCGGGGTGGAAAAAGCCCCCCCCACCCCACACCAGGTCACTCCTGGCGAAGTGGGGTCGTCGGAAACAACTTCCGGGCTGCTCGGCCAGGAGGGTTGGCTGTAGAGGATGGTTGGGGCGTGGCTGCTCAAAGGCCTGAGATCAGATTGCTTTCCTTTTTCTCTGGAACTCCCTAACTCCCCAGCGGTTTGTGAGTTTCCCGGCAGCCAGGCCCTGAAGCCACTTCTCTCTGTGGCTGGAGGAAGAGGGAGGGGCCGGGTGTGATCTAGTGATTATGCATCAGTCACAAAAAGGATTTATTGCATTACTTGGACGCCAAGCAGCCAGCACCCCTTGTATCATCCTGACCTAAACTTGGGGAAACTGGGGTTCAGAGTAGGGACACCATGGGGCGATCTGGTGCTTAACCATCCTGGGTGTTCTGCCTTCCCCTGGAGGGACAGAGAGCATCCCCTCACCTTGTTGTAGAGCAATCCCGATACAAAACGGGGTGCCTGACTGTGGGTCCTCACCCGCGTGCTTAAAAGGACTTATCAATGCTTTACTGCAGGCACACGCAAAAGGTTACTGCCCTGCCAGATGGGTTCTCAAACTCCTACAGCAGCTGCTGGCCTTGGGAGCTTACCCTCTCCCAACACTAGGGCCGGTGCCTCAAAGGTGCACTTGACTGTACCTGCTTTGCTGAAATTTGCTTTAATGCATAGGAGGTGGCTGTGGTTATGGAGCAGAAACTTCCTTACACTCAGGGACACGTCCCTCCTGATTCAGCTGCTGCAGGGTCAGACTCATAAAAAACTGGGACCACTGCTTCTTGGGCTAATGCTGGGGCCACATTTGTATGCTTGGGAAAGTGTCCTGACCCTGATGGAAAAAAAGAAAAGAGGAAGTGACAGGTCTGGGTGGTTCAGGGTGGGTGGTTGGAGCTTAGGATGGGGCTGGGGAAATGTGGTTCCTAACGGCCCATGTGCACAGGAGGACGCAGGCTTGGGTCTGTGTTGCAGCCTCGCCATGGAGCAGCTGAGCGCCGCCAACTCTGCCTTCGCCCTGGACCTGTTCCGCACCTTGAGTGAAGACAGCCCCAGTGGGAACCTCTTCTTCTCTCCTCTGAGCATTTCCTCGGCACTGGCCATGATCTTCCTGGGGACCAGAGGCAACACTGCGACCCAAGTGTCCAAGGTCAGCAGAAACAGACAAAATGAGAGAGAGAGAGAGACCCCTTCCTCCCCTGTCAGTGTCTGTGCTGAGGATGGGGAGAGCCAGCCTTGGGGCTTTCCCTGCACATGAAAATCTGTTTCTGGGCTCAGATCCCCACTGTGGGGGAGACTTTCAGCAAAAGCCCCAGGCACAGTCCATTTGCTGTGGGCTTTCCCTTTGAGTGACCTGTTTAATGAGCACCTACTAGGTGCCAGGCACTGTGGTGTGATTGGTTGAGGATGGGGGAGAAGCAGGATAGGCAGGGCAGGCCTCTGCTGTTCTGGCTGCCAGACCTGGCTCTGTGGCATTAGCCTGTCCTCCGGGAATCGTCCTTTCCCAATTCAGCTTTGCATGTGCAGACCTGCCAGGAATAGAGAATGCCTGCCATGTAAATTACTTCTGAATGAATGACATCCTGGAAATGCACTGCTGTGGAAGTTGGTGGGCTGACTTGCTGAGGAAGACAAGGAGATAGGGGAATTCTGTATGCTGATGCCTCGCCTCTGCCCAGTGCTGGGTGTTGCTGTAGGTTCTGATGTCGTGGGCCCTGTGGCAGGAGGCCCTGCCTCGTGGAGCCTGATGCTGAGGGGCTGCTGGGCAGGGCCAAGCCCTGGGTGATTTATTGCAGGTGAGTCTTCCAGCTGGAAAGGCGGATGATGCCCACCTTCTGCTCCCCTTATAGGTGTCATCTGTGCCAGATGTGCCTTATTGCTCAGAGAGGGACTCTGTCTCTCCCTGACAGTGAGGGAAAGGAGTGGTCACAGTGAAGGGCTTTCTGCCACCCCAGTCACACCTGACACTCACCTGCAGCCAGGACTGTAAGCCCTGGGGTCAGGGTTATGGACCTTTCCAGCTGCATAGCCTCTATGACCCCACTTCACGGAAACATCTCTAAGTGAATGAGACCCGCATCTGCAGAACCACAGATGGAAAAGCCTTTTCAAGTTTTCAAGAATCCTCTGGTACTAACTGGTACTAATTTGGATTTGCTTCTTAAAAGGTTACCCCAGCCTCTATTTGGTGGCTTTCCAGAAACTATGTGACCTCAGTGAGAAAAGTCTTAAGAGCCTTCCACGATATTTCCATTAAAACAGATCGATCACAACACTAGGCAAACATTCCATATCTGGTGAATAACTGGACTTTGTACTTGGTTTGGGTTTGTTCTTCTGTGTCTTAAAAGCGGGAACAGCCCAGGCCTCAGAAAACCATAAAAGCATTCTTGATTTGCAATTGATGTGGGGGGAATTAAACTTTTGCCAAGTTTTGTGTTTAAGGAAGTTTTCTTTTTAATAAGTGAGTTACTGATGCTCATGTGATAATTATAAATAAACACTCAACCTGTAATAACTTTGTTCCTGAATGGTGAGAATTCTTAGTTTTTTTTTTCTTAGAACTTTCAGTAAAATTATATTTGATAAAATTATATAAGGATAGAAAATTGGATTTTAATATACAAGAAAACACACCATTTAAAATTTTCTTTTGCAAAAAATCTGGCTTGTAGAAATACTTGATTTAATATCTACTCGAATTTGCAGAACTAGAATTACAATGAACTTCTAATATTGGCAACTTCTAATATTGGGATTATGTCTCATGAAGCTATAAATTTTGGATTCTCCATCATTTGTTCTCCAGTGAAAAACTTATAAGGTACTAGGCTGGGGTCATCAGTGCTTAGTAATTAAAACACATTCCTTTGATGGGGAGGCAAACACCTGGGAATCACTTTATAATTTCAAAGCAAATGTTTATAGAAAATATTTTCTTTGTTTTAGACTCTTCATTTCGATGCAGTTGAGGAGGTTCATTCCAGATTTCAGAGTCTGAACGCCGATATTAACAAACGTGATGCCGCCTATGTGCTGAAACTGGCTAATAGATTATACGGAGAGAAAACCTATAATTTCCTCCCTGTAAGTACTTTCTGTCTCATGTTCTAAAACTCATTAAAGAATGTAGGTTTTTCCCAACAAAATCAAGCCATAGAAATCAGTTTAAATATTTGTAAAGATTCAGAAAAATAATACAGAATGAAAATATAGGGCCCATGAAGTTCCTTGTGACAAGACTTCACCTTAGTGGCTGCTTAACTGGCAAGAGTGACACCATCTTTCACTTCCAAATGCAATCAGTATTACTATTTATGAAGATGTTAGGAAAGATTTGGTAAATTTTATAAAATACCAAACCTACTGAACTTTACATTTAAAAATGGTTAAGAGGAATAATTTTTGTTACGTATTTTTTTTTACATATTAAAAAATTATAATAGAATCTTTTGGTTATAAGGAAATGGATGCCTTTGAGGTCAATATCTATTGCATTTAAAGATCTTAGAACAGACTTCTGTATATATGGATGGTAGGAGTCATTCATAACATTTTTGGTTTTTTTATAGGAGTTCTTAACTTCAACTCAGAAAATGTATGGCGCTGGGCTGGACAGTGTGGATTTCCGGGGCGCCTCTGAAGATGCCAGGATGGTGATCAATGAGTGGGTCAAAGGGCAAACTGAAGGTAAGGGGGTGGACAAACTGTGGTCTTTGCACAAGGTCTCTTTTACCTGTGCGTCTCCACCTTCCACGCCTGCATGAGATGCCCTCTCCACACTCTCTCCCTACCTCCTGCTCCTCACTTCACCCTGGGGTGTACCCCCATTTCAAGTGTTGAACAACTATCAAACATAGAAATTTCTTGAAGTGGAATCTTAGAGATGATTTAACCAAAGCTGCTAAATAATTACACCATAAGTTCCCTCAAACTACATTTTAAATTTAAAGCTAACATTGACTGTAGAATAAAGGAATAAAAATTGGAGGCATGAGAGGGGAATCCAGCCAGTCCAAAATATATAATACACCTATAGCAGGAAATACCCTGAGAGTATGAATCTGGGCTCTCACACTACTGGTCATGAACCTCTTTATTTTAAAAGTTGCTGCCACTGAGGGGATTTAAAGAAGGACTGACTTACTAGTTACTCAAAAATACTGTCATGCAAGACTATATATATTGTTATCCTAAAAAGAATGACCACTCACAAACAAGACTCCATGTGATCACACTCCAGAAAAGGGGCATTTTCTTGTACACCACCTGTTAACACATTAGACTTGTATTGAATTGTGGACCCTGGCGGGTGGTTGTGTGTCCTTTGATCAGCCTTGAGAGTTGGTGCAGTCAAATACACAAAGGTGTTTTTACCTCATCATCATGTTCAAGGAAAATAAAATGGAGAAGTTGTTTTTGAATTGCATTTCAGTGCTGAACAAAATCAGTTCAGAGTTGGAGTTTGGAGATGGGAAGTTACAAAAAAAATCGCTTTATCTTTTCAGGGAAAATTCCAGAAGTGCTGGCTGCAGGTGTGGTGGATAGCATGACTAAGCTTGTGCTGGTGAATGCCATCTACTTCAAAGGCTCCTGGCAGGACGAATTCAGAAAAGAGGAAACCAAGGATACCCCATTCAAGATGAATAAGGTGAGTCCATGCACTATCTAAACATACTCTTTGCTCTACAAGAATGCAGATAATAATGAGTGATTTGTCTGCCAACCTTTCAGAAAGAAACAAAAACAGTGAAAATGATGTACCAGAAGCAGAAACTGCCATTTGGCTACATCCAGGACCTCAAGTGCCGTGTGTTGGAACTGCCGTACAAGGGTGGGGAGCTCAGCATGGTCATCCTGCTGCCGGATGACATAGAGGACGAGTCTACAGGGCTGAAGAAGGTGATGCTCCTGCATTTTGTCCTTCCCACCCCCTTTCCTGTATGAGTCCTCCTGTGTGTGCTGAGTGGTCAGTGCTCGTTATATGTTTACTAATGTCACTTCACTTCCTAATTCTTCTGTAAATTAGTCCATCAACATCTACTGCTTGGCAGCCCTACGAGTGGGGACCATCCAAAGACTAACACTAGATGTAATCTGGTCAGTGGCAGCTCATGGAAATTCTTAAGTGAGCTTTAGAGATGGAGAGATCTATTATTAAAACAAATTTTTTTAAAATTAAAGTGCCCAAGACCTGTAGCATATAGCATTATCATGAATTCTAAAGTCCTTTTATTACACTGTTCCTTCTCCCTACAAGTCATACAGATTGTGAATTAAATTCCCAGTAACTATATAATAGAAGAAGTCTCGTGAAGCTTGAGGGTTAAGACTATTTCCTATTGTGAAGCTTGAGGGTTAAGACCATTTCCTGTTGTGACCTATGCAAGAAGTTCCTACTGTAAGTACCTTGAAAGTTATGGAATTTCTTGCCAGGGCTGGGACCAGGCAAAACTGTGAAGATTATGTAATTTCCTCAGTGTCTCAGATGTGCTGTGTGTTTTTTCTCTACCTCCTCCTTACCAAACTTGGTGTCAGGAGGGAGTCCAATCTGTCATCTATTTGCATGTATAGAGAATGTCTTAAAATCACTGTGTTTCTTCTTTCTCTGTATTTCCACCTCTATTTGTTCTTTGATTATTAAAAGAGAGTCTCATGAAAAAGATGATCAACATCAATAGAATAAATGAAACGATGATTTTGGTCTAGTCCAATCATGTTATTAAAACAGCAGTGATAACAGCAGATATTTACAAACCACTTACTATGTGCCAATTCATTTAATGCTCATGACAATGTTATAAGTTAGGTGCTGTTATTACCCCCATTTTAGATAAGGAACTAGGAATTTTTCTATTTTTACTTAGGAGTTGAATAGCTTTGAGATTATTTCAGCTCTGTGTGGTTCACAGATCACCACAGTGATTAGTGGGTTCAGAATAAATATAATAGAAGAAATAGAAGAAAACTTTTACAACGCTCAACCAATTAGTTAACATGTAATTACATGTTACACCCACTCAACCAATTAGCTAACATGTAATAGAGCCTCCACAATAATTACAACTCTCAGGGCCTATCACAGTGATCCAGTATGGCAGGGCATTATTGAGTCCTGGATGAGTAAGTAGATAGATGGGTAGGAGTGAGACTGTATGTATGGGTGGGTAGGTGGGTGGGTGGGTAGGTGGGTGGGTGGGTGGGTGTATGGATGGTGTGCCAGCAGATTAATGGATAGATGGGTGAATGGAGAAGTGGATGGATGGTTGTTTGATAGATATGATGAAACTCTTACTTGGGCCCTTGATGACTTGGAACACACATTCTCATTATCCCTAATGCCAGAAAAAACTGGCACAAAACAGGAAGGAAACAAAGTAGCAACTGACATTAGGGTCCGTTTTAGGTATTTAAATAACGCTTTAGTACTTACCTATATAAAATTGTTTTTCTTTGCACATTCTAATTCCAGATCGAGCAGCAGTTGACTCTGGAAAAACTACGTGAGTGGACCAAGCCTCAGAATATGAATCATATGGATGTCCACGTGCACTTGCCCAAATTCAAGCTGGAAGAGAGCTACAATCTCAACTCCCACCTGGCTCGGATGGGTGTGGAAGATCTCTTTAGCAGCAGCAAGGCTGATCTGTCTGGCATGACAGAAACCAGAGATATTTTCATATCAAAAATTATCCACAAGTCCTTTGTTGAGGTGAATGAGGAGGGCACAGAGGCAGCGGCTGCCACAGCAGGTATTGCCATGTTCTGCATGCTGCCGCTGGAGGAAAATTTCGTTGCCGACCATCCATTCATCTTCATGATTCGTCACAATTCCTCTGGCAACATTCTGTTCTTAGGCAGATTCTGTTCCCCTTAGAGGCTGTACAAATACAAGTTCAAACTTAGAGTTTTATCAATAAAACGACTATCTAAAACCAAATCTTTAATTTTGTTTCTAAGTGCAACTCTGTTGGGTCTTCACATCCATTTACTTTGGCAGGGGTATTGATTTTCCTTTTTTTACAATGAAAAACTCTAGAACTGTTTTTGAAAGCATCAAGTTCAAATTTACATAACGAATATCCAGATGTATAAATTCTTGACAAAGCAGTAATCTATGCAGGGAAACATAAAAATACTGTGATTTATTTAATAGATTGAACTTTAGAAGTCATCATAGACACTCTTGTTATTGAAGGGAGACTTAAAAACAATCAGTTGAAATAGAGAAGTGCACCCCAATTAAGGATCCATTTTGTAAAGACAAACTTATCTTGACCTTTGTCCTGTAGCTGATGTTCTACAGGATTTGTTTTCAGACCATTAAATTAAAGAGCTGCCTGGGGATCCCCTGCATTCTCTGTGTTGTTATCCTTTATTTGACCTCATGTGTAGCTCTCAAGAGGTTCCATGTATTCAAGAAGTGGGGGGTCTCAAATATGGATGTCAGGAAATGATCAAAAGAAAAATGGAATAGGAGAGACTGTTAAGCAAAGAGGGGGTGAAAAAATCTCAGTTTCTCCCCACTACTTGGGTGTTTTCTCATAAAGACTCTGCAAGTCCATTATGATACCGGTTGCTATGGCAGTGGTTGGCTTATGTGGGTTGTGGTTGAAGATGGGGCTGTCTGTGTGGCAATTCAAGAGTGGGAATGAAAGAAGAAATTTCCAAAGGAATAGTTCTGGGTCCTTTGGGATCATACATAGACAAAAATTCAAATTGATTCCTGCCTTAAAACCTAACCAAATTTAATATCCAATGCACTGTATACCTAAGACAAGTCAACAATTTTTAGAAGATAATATATGAATATATCTTTATGAGCTTGTAGAGGGAGTAATAATTTAACTGGAGGGGACACACACACACTCAGCTTTTGTTAGATTCATTTCTAGACTTTAGGACCCACAGGTTAATAACAGAAGAGAGGGCCTCCCCGGTGGCGCAGCGGTTGAGCGCTGGGTTACGAAGCTGCGCTCAGCCTCTGCAGCGCCGGTTCGATCCCCGGCTGCTCCCCGGCCACCGGAGGAGGGTCCCACATGGCGCGCAGACCTCTGCTGCCGCCCGCTGCTCCCCTCAGCAGTGTACTTCGGTCCTTCTGCCTGCCCTGCTCCCCGCTCGGTCCTTCTGCCTGCCCTGCTCCCCGCTCTGGCTCTGGTGAATTCTCTCACCCTCCCGCGCTTCTGACTGTACCCAGTGCATGTATAAACAAAACAAACAAATAAAATAAATAAATAAATAAAGCATGCCTCTAAATAAATAAATAAATAAATAACAGAAGAGATCATTTCACACGGGTGTAAATGGCCTCTATTTAAAAGACCCCCAACAAGTTTTCTACATGCTGGAAAGCATGTAGAACCCTATTCCACTGTTGGTGGGGATGTAAGCTGGTGTGGCCATTCTGGAAAGTGGCTGGATTTAGCTTTACAAAATAAAAATGGAAATACCATATGACCCAGCAATCCCACTTACGGTCCTCTATCCAAAGAACATCAAATTATCAACCCCCAAAGCCATATCCATGCAATGTTTATTATAGCACAATTACATTAGCAGCCCGTTGTGAATGGGGGCAACCTGTCAACAGGTGACTGGATTAATAGTCCATATTGTGGAATACTGTTTAATCACAAGGAAAGATGAAATGCAGCCATTTACAGCAAATGGAGCGAGTTCCGGGGAAATATGTGTAGTAAAGGGAGTTAGAAAGAAAAAGGCAAATACTGCACATTTACCTAGTGGAGAATCAGACAAGTAAATTACAAACAATGACACACATTAATAAACACAGTGAGAGGGGAAAGTGGGCGGGAATGAGGCAAAGGGAGTAAGGGATAATGGTGGAGGAAAAAAAAGGAATTTCATGCCTGCAACATACACCAATAAGAGACAGAAAAGAGGGTTCTGGAAGGTTGAAGGGGGCCAAAGCCCCAAGTACAGGTGACATCTAAGAGTGGCCCCAATGACGGGATTCCAACTCTAGAGCTTTTCCCACTTCATTCTGTTATTTTCTGGGCTACAATGAAAATCCAACCCGCGGGGCGGGGGGGGCGGGGGCGGGGGGGGGGGGCCTGCTGGCGCAAGGGGTTAAGCACAGCACTGTGAAACTATCCGCAGCCTCTGCGGCACGGGTTCCATCCCTGGTCAGGAAGCTACCCACATGGCGCAGCAGACCTCTTCTGCCTCGCCCTCTGCTCCCCTCAGCAGTGCATTTCAGTCAGTCTGCCTGTTCTGCTCCCCACTCTGTCTCTGGGGAATCCTCTCACCCCCCACACCTCTGGCCTATACCCCAGCTCTTGTATGCATAAATAAATATTAAAAAAAAAAAAGGAAAATCCATTCTGTGAAGGCCCCTGTCAGATCCTGTTGCTGCCACTCCAGTTGGCACCTTGGTGAGTAACTGGAACTTCTTTGTCTCCCCTCTTCCCTTTCCTCATTCTCTTTTTTGCTGCACCAAAGGCCCTTTCGTTTGCATTGCAGTAGCAGGTGTCCCAACTCAGAATGGGTGAGAGCAGTTCTTTCTGACCCGGGGTTAGTTTCCAGACTCTGCCCACAGACTATAATTTTGGAGAACAGGCTTCCAAATGTCTTTAGAATCTCTCTCTCTCTCTCTCTCTCTCTCTCTCTCTCTCTCTCTATATATATATATATATATATATATATATATATATATATATACACATACATACATATATATATGACTTTATATTTATATATATATAAAAGCGTGAGGACAGTAACACCTACTTCATGAGGTCAGTGTTAACGCAAATGTCACGTCTAGGCCACCTCGTTCATTCATTACTGGGTTTACCCATACCCCACACACCTGCCCCCAAAGTGGTAGCCCCTCTTGAAGACAGAAAGAAGGGGACTCTAGTTGAGTTTACACAGTTAATTATGCTTTTCTAATCATTACAATAAAGTCAAATGTGTCACGTGATTTCTGCACTGGTTCGTTTCTTAAAACAGATTACTACCTGTTTATTTACCATTGTTGTGATGTTTTATTGTACTTTGCACAAGAGTAGCTTCCTGACCAGGGATGGAACTCATGCTGCAGAGGCTGCGGATAGTTTCACACAATTAATAACCATCCTGCTCTTAATTTAAAAATAATGAAATGGTTAATATAGCTTCATGAACTTGTGGTGGGAGTGATTTCATAACAGGACATGCACACACACAGGTTACTGCCATGGTCTTTCTTACTCAGAAATAAATTCTAACTTGCAACCTAGAATTTTCATCTGACCATAGCTATCTCTCCCAACTTAGAGCAAGGGAGAGGGAGGGTCAGTAAAACCCAGTAATGAATGAGCAAGGTGGTCTAGACGTGACATTTGTGTTAACACCAACCTCAAGTAGGTGTTACTGTCCTCATGCTGTGAGAATAAATGATCTGCCTGGGATCTCATGGCAGAATGGGGACCCCTACTCACAGCTGGGCAGTGCAGAAGCCTCCAGAGTCCATCTCCAACTGAGGTCCTTAGCTTCACCATAAAGTCCCATCAGCAATTCACTCTAAGCCATTCTAGGGGATTCTCGCCCATCAGTATTTACACTGTGCTTTCATTCTTGGCTGGGAATCTTGGCCAATTAAAACAAAATGTTCCATACTTTTATGATCCAGAGTCTACTTGCCTGGGAAAGGCAGAAGTTACCCAGGCAGGAAAGGCTTGGAAGCAGAAAGTGGTGGGCACTTCAATAAGGCTGGGGGGTCACCATGTTTCCCTGGCACAAATTCCACACCTGCTCCCCTCCAATGTCACTGCCAAGAGCTGAGCCTCAGAGACCTGTAATCAGAGTAGGAATAAGAAGTATTCTAGAGGGTGAATACGTCATTTTGAAAAACAACTCAAGGCAAAGGAAGGCTCTACTGTACTCAACCGTGGACAGGTCAATAGTTGTTAGGCCTGTGCAGATTCTAGAATGTAATAGCATTTCTTCAACACAGAGTTCAGGGGTCTGATGACACACATAGAGTTGCCACACCAGAGACCTACTAATCTGAAAACCCAGTCAGTGGCACAGAACACAGGGTGTGGTCAGAGTGACGTGGAGCGAATGAATCAGTGCAGGATTCCTTGTTCCATAGCAAGGGGACGTAGACAGAGTGGTTACATCAAAAGTCACATGGAAGTGACTCAGAGACTAGAAAGCACAGTCTTGGACTCTGAGATTGTGGCATTATAGCTGATTAGCTTTCTTTTTTGTTTTTTAAGATTTATTTATTTATGCATTTATGAATACAAGAACTGGGGTACAGGCCAGAGGTCTGGGGGTAAGGGGATTCACCAGAGACAGAGTGGGGAACAGAACAGGCAGATGGACTGAAAAACACTGCTTGAGGGGAGCAGTGGGCGAGAAAGGAGAGGTCTGCTGTACCATGTGAGTCAGCTACCTGGCCGAGGATTGAACTCATGCTGCAGTGGCTGCTGATAGCTGGTCTTTCCTTATCAATCCGCCTTATGGGGCATAGTTTACATAGAATCACCCATTTTAAGCATCATGGTGACAAAAGTTGATACCCATGAAAACTCCATTCTGATCAATACATAGAACACTCTGTCTCCCTATATCACTGAATTTTATGTCCCTGTGCATTGTTTCTGACTGCTGGAGAATTTTGTATAAATTCACAGAATCCATGCCTTTGGTGTTTGCCATTTTTTGCTCATGTGTTTGGGATTTATCCATGTTGTTACAGTGCCACATAACCTCATTGTACGGACATCCAATAATGCACATATTCATCTTTGAAGGATATAATTAAGTTGAATCTATGCCATGAGGCCAAGAGTAATTCAGCATAGGTATCCCAAGAGGAAAACAATATGAAGAATACAAACAATATAGGAAGAAATATGCTAAATAAAAAAAGGACTGAATGAGAGAAAACCTAAAAGAATACCAAGAAGGAAAAACATACAACCATTTTGATAAAGAGCGCAAAAGCGTTTAGCAATATTTAACATCCTAACCTGATAAGG